CAGCTACACTAGCACTCTTCTCCTCTGTGAAGCAAGGTAGTGTTTATTGAATGGAACTTACTGAGAAAGACACGAGGGGAGAGAAAGAGGAAGCCATATTCAGGAGTGAACACAGGCTTCTCTGGAGTGGAAAAAAGCAAGCAAGGAGACAGACGAGTCAGTGAGATACACGTTCAGGGAGAGCATGGCTTGGAGAGCCAGCAGGATCTCAATTTGGTCCCTGGTTGAAAGCTGCGATGCTGGTGTGTGGGTTGCCCTGCATGGATGGGAAAGAGATGGGGGTGGGAGACCCACCGGGCTGCCCACCTGGCCCCTCATGCCATCCCAATCTGCCTGCCCAGGTGTGAGGGCCAGAACCCTTTTCTCCCAAAGTCACTGGACACAGGAGCAGGAGTCCCAGTGATGGGAAGAAGGGTCACATAGGTGAGATGGGGGAGGTTGGGGGGGAGGGGGGCTGGTCCCTGAGCAACTCGGGTTCCTTCTGGTGTAGGCTCCCTTTACTACCCAAACAGAAAAACTGTGTAAGGGAGGGAAAATGACTCAGAAAATAATAAGGTAAATACATCAGATCAAATTTCTGAATCAGGCAAATCGTGCCCCAAGAGAGTCAGAGGGAGCGGACTCCATGAAGAACCGCCAAGGCGCCAGAACCCGGGAGAGAGGAAGCAGAAGCCCCGCTCAAGAGAAGCGGCCGCTACTCTGCATTGATGCTCGGGCCAGGTGCTCCCCACTCTTTCCTTGTCTGTGCCCCATCCAGGCATTTCTGATGACGTGGGAGTTTCCCTTATGGGCTACACTGGTAAGGTATAGATTCATGTGGTGATCCCGAGAGACACAAGTCATGGCGTCCTCGGAGAGCTGCCTGAGAGGGTGTCATGGGCCTGCCTGCAGGAGAAAGCACACACTGCACACAGGCGATGTCCCCAGGGTCACACCTGGTGGCAGGGGTTGCGGGTTGAAATAAGCCCTTAGGTGAGAGCTGAATTGAAGATCAAAGCCCAGCAAGCTCTTTGGGGCGGGGCGGGGTGCCCCTATCCTGATCTCCCCAGCCTGAGGTCGGGCCCTGGAGAAATGGCCAAACTGGCTGAGTGCAGGGGTTCTGCATGCGGGAGATTCAATCTCCAGCACCACACAGTTCTTGAGTACCACTGGGAATGGCATCCTCCCCACTCCCTGCCCCAAACCTGGAGTAGCTCCTGAGCATCACTGGGTGTGGCCCCAAAGCCCCCCAAATAAGCCTAAGAATCGCTGACCCTTACTCAGAACCCTGCATTGCAGATGCATGGAGTGTCTTGGGGTTGCAGCCCATAAGGGAACTACAGGTCACTCTGATGCCCATCAGCCTGCAGTGTGACCCATGAATGACGCATTTTGTGTTTGTGTCCTGTAGAAGCTGCTTCTTGGGAGTGTCTGGGAAAGATGGTTCTTTAGGCCTGAGCCTACCAGCTGTGCCCATGGCAACTCTTTCCACAACATCTGGATTTACAGGGTCCCCCAGAGGCAGTGGGTCGGACCTTCTTCCTCGCAGAATTCCCACACTGTGGTCTGGCTCCTTAACTTATATGGCCACAACTGGTTTTGGAGGTTCTGGGTTCATTAACCAAGAGGGTGTTCTGAGGTGCCAGTAGGAGTCCCACTATTATGCAGGGTGACAGACAAGATGCCTGGCTTGGGGCTGGAGTAATAGGACAGCAGGAAAGGTGTTTGCCTTGCACGCAGCCGGCCTGAGTTTGATCCCCAGCGTCCTATCTGGTCTCCCAAGCACCACCAGGCCAGGAGTAATTCCTGAGTGCAGAGACAGAAGTAACTCCTGAGTATTGCTGGATGTGATCCAGCCCCCACCCCGCAAAAAAAATATGCCCAGCTAACCAGCATGTGACCAGGACAGGACAACCAAATGCGTGCCAGGGGTTCTGAGATACCCAGGTTTCCTGTGGGGTGTGCAGTCCTGGTCTTCCCTGGCTGGGGAATGATGCCAGTTTTGACCATCTGAGACCCTCCAGCACTTTCTTGTAGGGTTCCATTCACTCATTCATTCATTCATTCTGTGGTGCTGGGGATGGAACCCATGGCTTACACAAGTGAGGCATGAGGGCTTGGTCCTACTGCTGTCATCCTGCCTTGGGTCCAGTGTGACATGGGTGGTCCCTTCGGTGAGTTGGCAGGAGGTAGGCACTCATTGCCCTCTTCCCTGCAGCTACTTCTGGAGGAGCAGGACCCTGCCCTGACCCCAGGAGGCAAGTGGAGGCGGTATCTATTAGGGAGATTCACTGGGGGTCTCTGTGCTGGGTCCCAGAACTCAGCCCTTTCCCCTGGCTGGTGGATCACAGTGCTCATGATTTGGATCAAGAACACAGATACTCTTGCTCATGAAATTCGCAGCTGCCCCCATGGTAGAATTCATGCTTTGTGAGCTTTGTGACTAGATGCCGACACACAATGCTTTCAAGATTAGACAGCTGGGTGGGATCCAAGCGGATGACATTTTAAGCCGCCTGGTGCGAGAGCTTTTGCGTTTCCGAAGACCTCATTGTCTGGTGGCCCAAGGAAAGGGCGAGTTGGTGGGGTCCATGGGAAAACGCTCTTGCTGCAAACCCAGTGAGTCACCGGAATAATGTGACTGTTGTCAACACAACCCCTCTGGGAAGGCGGCTGAGGGACTGGGTTTGAGTTTTGGGAAAACTGGAGACAGGCCCGGTTATTGTGGGGAGGAGGATTTGGCCACACCTGGTGGTGCTCAGCAGCGACCCCCGGTGGCACTTGCCAGATCATGAGCCATGCCGGGGACTGAAACTTACCTGCATCCTGTCCTACCGCCCCAGTCCTTCCTCTCCCCTCTCAAGTGGCTGTGTGCCAGGGCAGTTTCCCGGGCAACCGGGAAGCCTGGGAGGTGGGCAGGGTCGGGGACGTGGTGCCTACCATGTGGGCATGACAGGGGGGAGGGGCACAGCCTCTTCCCTGACCCCACCCAGGCCTCCCCTGGAAACGGGCTGCAGGAAGGAAAAAACAGCCAAGGGTGGGCAAGGCCCTGAGAACCAGCAGTTCTAACTGGCTCCCGCATTCCGTGGGGAGAAGCTGAGCCTGGGAAACAGGTCCTGGTCCCTCTTTCTCCGAGAATTTACTGGAACCTTGGCGGGCCCATTTCCCTTGAGGCAGCTACTGGGGTGCCCTCTGTTTTCCAGAGGAAACCCGGGTTGAGGGGTCAGGAGGCCCGCCCAGGCCATTAAGCTGGTCGTTGGCCAGGCCGAGTCTAACTGCACCTGTGGCACGGCTGTGGGGAGGGGGTGGACAGAGAAACCCCCAGAATAAGAACTCCCAGCAGGTGCAGGCAGGGGAAGGAGAGAGGACAAAGCAGCAGGCAGCTGGGGCAGGAGGAGGCAAGGGGTGGACACAGTGCCCCGACCCCTGAGGGACCTGAAAATCTTGGAGGTTTCCTGCCAGCCCCGGAGTGAGCAGAAAGTCTGTGAATCCAGCAAGACCCTCACAGACAAGGGTGGATGGGCTGTGAGACCCAGTCTTGGCAACGTGTTCTTGCCACAGGAGCACGCAGAAGACTGGGATGATGCCCAGAGGAGGCACTGGCTGGGGTGGAACAGGAAGGGGGGGCGAAGGTCTGGGGAGCTACGGCTTGAAGGCGGGGGAGTGGCCTGAAAAGCATCTCAGAGGTCCTGAGGAGGCCCTCTGGGAGTTTGGGGGGGTTCTTCAAAACCACCATTGTCACCCCCTTGCCCGTCCAACTGTCTGGGACTCAACATAGAGCTGAGTCCCGCAGATCTCGTGAGGAGTTCTGGCCAAGGAGCTGGAGGAGGGTGTGAGTCACTGCTCGGAACCCTCAAGCTGGATGCTCCCAAAGCCCAGTTCCCCTCCTCCCAGCCCCTCCCCAGGAGGAGACTTGGGAGATGGTGGGGACAGGCAGGAGGTGCTGTTCTGGTCCTGACTGCCTTGCAGGTGCTGGGTGAAACTGGACAAACCCTGTCCCTGTCCCCCCCGCCTCAGTTTCTCAGATGTGCCAGGAGTCATTCCAGGGGACACCTAGAACTTGTCAACTGTCCTAATACTTGCCCCAACTAGATATGGGATGAGTCGCAGTTTTGTTTTTCTTTTGAGGACCCGGTAGTACTCAGGGATCACTCCTAGTGGCGCCTGGGGACCGTATGGGGTGCCAAGGAAAAAACTCAGGCCAAGCATCCTACCAGCTGTACTATCTCTCTGGCTCAAACCTCAGCTCTTCTGACTGAAAGGCTTTAAGCAAGGGCCCTTCACCCTTGGGGCCTGAGTTACTCCCTCTGTAAAACGGACACCGAAAGCAAGTCCGATTCCTTCCCATTTCACCTTCAATTCTCTAGCATGGTTCTTTGGGGGCCACACCCAGTGGTGTGGAGCTGGGGACTGAACCCTGCCTCACACCCAGTTCTGGGAGCCTTCCCCAGACTCCGACAAGAACGTGACAGCACCTCAAGGGTCCTTCTGTGGCCTCCATCCAACAGTGCAGCCAGAGCATTCAAGTTTCAGTGACCCCCCCCTTTTTTTTTTGCCACACTGGCTATGATCGGGCTCACTCCTGGTGGGGATCTGGGGACTTTATGGGGAGCCAGGGATTGACTCTGGCTTGGCCAAAGGTAAGTGCCCTATCTGCTTTAATGCCCTCTGTTCACACCCAGGGATGCTCAGAGGTTGCTCCTGGCTCTGCACTCAGGAATTACTCCTGGCCGTGTTCGGGTGGCCATATGGGATGCTGGGGATTGAACCCAGGTCCGCCGCCTGCAAGGCAAACGCCCTACACGCTGTGCTATGGCTCCATCCCCTTGACAGCCCTCTTAAACCTCATCCTGGCCGCTCTGGAGGGGAGATGCCTTGGTTCTAGGTGCTCTTGGGGGACCTGCCGAGTGGAAGGTACCTTGCGTGGTGTCTGGCCACTGCAGACAAACCCAACCCTTGCAGGCTTCCCGCGCGGGCCCGGCGCGCCCCCTGGTGGCCAAGCGCGCCCCGCCCCGGCTGCCATGGAGACCGCGGTACACACTTCCCTTCCCGGGGCCGAGGGCGTCCGCGGGGCACGCAGGCCCATGAACATCAGGGCCTGCAAGGGGCTGGCGGTGGGGCGAGTGAAAGTCTTCAGCCGCCACAAAGGGGAGGTGAGGCTGGGGCTCCGCCACTGTGCGGTGGAGCTGCTGCAGTCCGCTGGGCTCCGGGTTCTAAGCTCTGGTTCCAGCGGGGGTTCGCGGCTCCTGCTCGGGGCACCCGGGTTTAGGGAATGGCCACGGGAGGGGGCGCTCTTCTGGGCTCTGCTCTCCTCCCAGGTCAACTGCTCGGCCTTCTCTCCCAACGGCCACACGCTGCTCACGGCCTCCGAGGACGGCTGCCTGTACGGCTGGGCCACCAACAGCGGCAAGCTGCTCTGGAGGCTGGGCGGACACACAGGTGCGATGGGCGTCAGCGGGCTTGGGCTTCCTGCAGAGCCGCCACACTGGCAACGCCCCTCATCCCCCAAGCCGGGTATCATGCGTGACAGAGGCCAGTTCCTTAGGGACAAACCCAGGAACAGACACACCCCTACCAGGGAACTTTTTTTGTCCTGGATGGCTGGCTTTGGACCACGAATATACCATTCTAATGACCGTCAATCTGGAACTCAAGGGCCAGGGAGCCCAGAGATGCTTTAAGCCTGTGAAGGCCTTTCCTTGCTTCTTCCTAGCTCAAGCGTGGCCAGTGCAGTGGCTGCTTCTGGTTGCTGCCTCCACATGCACAGTACTCAGAAACAGGCCTACGCATGGACCTGCCAGCCAAGCTGGGGTCTGAAAGCCGAGTCTCTTCTTTCATCGGCTATTACACCAACCCCAAGACCTCTCAGGACTCAACTCTTTCCCATAATCCTTCCTGCTGTCTCTGACAGCCCGATTTCCTCTGGCATGTTTGCCATGCTACAGGATGTCAGGGGGACCTAGCATAGGCAAGTCTCATTAAGACACAAAAGAAAGCACATCATCAAGGGTGATGTCCAGGGAGGGAGCAGCTGGCTAGGACCCTAAGGTCGGGTTTGAGGTGCCTGCAAGATGAGGGTGTTTATTTCCCCACATGGGCAAGTGGGGTAGTTTTGGACCAGGTGAGGGTGGGTGAGCGGGGCTGTGGGCTGTCCTTGCTCCCTGACTGGTGTCAGCCCCTGCTCCAGGCCCCGTGAAGTTCTGCCGTTTCTCCCCGGATGGCCGCCTCTTTGCCAGCACCTCTGGTGATTGTACTGTTCGCCTGTGGGACACAGCCGAGGCCAAGTGTCTGCAGGTCCTAAATGGTGAGTGGGCTGGGGTGTCGGAGCTGAGCACTGGCCTGGCTCCTTGGAGACTTGTGTTCTCTGTACCTGTCCCACCCGGTCTGCAGGTCATCAGCGGAGCGTGGAGACCGTCAGCTTCAGCCCCGATTCCAAGCTGCTGGCATCAGGGGGTTGGGACAAGCGGGTGATCCTTTGGGAGGTACAGGTATGTGGAGGGGCAGAGCTCCCCCTTTTGCTCATGCCCACACCGACAGCCAAGAGCTCTGCCATCACCCATGAACCCTCTTGCCCAGTAGGTCCCATGCAGGGCCTGGCCAGTCTCAGGGCTTTCTCCCTCAGTCTGGCCAGGCCCTGCGACACTTGGCAGGGCACAGAGACTCTATCCAGAGCAGTGACTTCGCACCCAGCTCTGACTGCCTGGTGAGCCTCCCTGTTCTCCCGGGACTGCTCATGGGGCTCTGGCTGGCCAGCCCAGGCTCATGGCAACTGTCCACAGGCCACAGGCTCCTGGGACTCCACCATCTGCATCTGGGACCTGCGAGGCAGAGCAGTCATGGCTCAAGAGCTGGAGGGCCACCAAGGCAACATCAGCTGCCTGAGCTACTCCTCCTCTGGCCTCCTGGTGAGCGGTGCTGCCCTGGGCGGCCAAGACTGTGCAAGTCTCATACCCCGTGGTCTAAGAGATCTCTGCCACGCAGGCTTCCGGTTCCTGGGATAAGACCATCTCTATCTGGAAAACTTTCACCTCAAGCCCGCCTATTCAGCTCAAGGGTCACATATCCTGGGTGAAGAGCATAGCTTTCTTTCCCGACGGGCTGCAGCTGGCCAGTGCTGACTACTCCCCCATGGTAACCCACCCCGTGGGACTTTCCTGCCCATCCTTTCCCTCAAATACTCCCCGCAGAGCCCACAGCCTGTCCAGAAACACCTGCTACTGCACCCTCCTAAACTGGAAGGGGAGGAGGGGGCCTAGCGCACAGCCTAAGGTCTTTTATGACCTGGACGGCCCGAAGGAAAGTGTACTGCACTCAGTCTCCCCTGATGAGAAGTGGAGAGCCAGACCCAACAGGTGGGCAGGACCGCACTGCCTTTCTGCTCATTTGCTTCCAGATCAAAGTATGGGACTGCAATACAGGAATGTGCCTTGAGACAGTGAAGGTAAGGCTGCCGGCCACTTCCCGCGGCAGGGGAGGAAGGGCTTCTGGGCAGGATGCAAGGCCCTGGAACCTGATGCCGCACTTCTGCGCAGGGAGTACTGGACGAGGCCCACGCCTTTGCCTTTACCCCAGACAAGAAACTCCTCGTGTCTGGCTCTGTTGATGGCTGATCAGGCAAGTCATCACGTCCACTGCACCACCCACTCACATCAGGTGCCGGGGCAGAGCGAGCGAAGGCCGAGAGGGCAGTTCAAGGCCACCGGCTCAAAGTCACCACCTGAGAGAGCCCGAGGCCCCTGTAACCAAGACACCCCAACCCCACCAGCAACACCCTTGCCCCCACAAACACTGACGAACACCTGCCAAGCCAGTGAGTGTGCTTTATTGTGACCGCGGCTCAAGCCTTGACTGCGTACTTCCGCAGTGGGTAGAGCCGCTCCTTCCGTTGCTGCTTCTTGGTCTTCAGGCTCTCCTCATGCTTGTTGAGTCGGCGGCGCATGGCACGAGTCTTCTTGGGCCGCAAATCAAGGGGCTTGTACTTCTTGCCCTGGGTGAACAAAGGAGAACCTGAGCATGGGGTTTAGGGGTGTCTGCAGTAGCTGAGGGGAAGACCCCTAGGGAGGCGTGGGGCGACAGGGGGAGGGAACTTGATCTCTAGATATGCGAGGACTGTTAAGTCACCAAGCAGGAGACTATCTACAGACACCTTGTTCAAGTTCCCTAAATTCAAGATGGGGGCAGTGACCTGTCCATGCGTGTGGGTTCCCCAAGGAGGACTTTTTGCCAACCTGGCCCCCAGGACCACTCCCAGTCCCGCGGCTGACTAGTCACCGGGCCCAGCTTACACAGATGTGCTACAGGGGAGGTAGTGGGGGGCCCACCAGTCCCAAGGTATTGTCAGGGGCTCGAAGGGACAGTGGTGCGGCCAAGGCAATAGTTTCACTTAAGGGGGAGTGCAGCGCAGGAGTTCTTGCCTTGGACTCCTGCCGACACGGAGCAGTCACCTGATCCACTGCCCTCTCGCATGAACAGATGTGGACCAAGGCAGCTCCTGTGGTCATGCCAGTGCCACAGGTGCAGAGGGAAGGGGATAAGGAAGGCCCCACCCACGGACTGTCAATAGCCCTGAAAGCCAAAACGGACACTTCAAACGGAAAACACCAAGGCCTGGAGTATCAGCTCCAGGCTTCTAGAATTAGCCTGAAACAGAGAATTGCAGAAAAATATCTAAGCAGGCAGGTCCCCCCTGGGGGACAAGCTGGCAGCACAGATGCTGCTGTCCACCTGTGCCTGGAGGGCCTGTCCACCTGTACCCCTAGCCTTGTACTACAGCCCAGGGATACAGGGCTCTTTACAGCATGGGACAAAGCCTGTCACCACAAGCCTCAGGCCAGGCCATGGGAGGCCATGGCTGAGACCTCACTTCTAAGAGTGGTGCCACAACTGTCCCCCCTCACGCTGCCAGGCAGCAGATGAGGTGAACTCTTCCAGCACAGTCAGTCCAGGCACTGTGACAGATACTCTAGCATGGCAAAACCTTCTGGCATTCAAGTGCTAATCTGGATAACAAGGAACCATTTTCCAGGACCAAACCAAACCAAAAAACCAAAACCCTCCAGTTTAAAAATTTATCCTATCGGGGCTAGAGCAATAGCACAGCGGGTAGGGCGTTTGCCTTGCACACAGCCGACCTAGGCTCAATTCCCAGCATCCCATATGGTCCCCCGAGAGTGCATGAACCAGGAGTAACTCCTGTGCATCTCCGGGTGTGACCCCAAAAAAGCAAAAAAAAAAAAAAAAAAAATCCCACCGTCAGACAGCACTGGAGTAAGCATTTGCCTTGCTTGCAACTGACTCTGGTTCCATCTTGGGCACCACATGTGCCCCAAAGTATGGCCAAAGCCAATCCCTCCCGACACAGAACAGGCTACAGAGAGTAACCCCATGCAGGTGTGTCCCCCAGTAAATAAGTGATAAAAACAAGGGGTGAGGAAAGAGCAACAGCACAGCAGGTACGGTGCTTGCCTTGCATGCAGCCAACTCGGAGTGAGGTCCCAGAACCTCATCCGGTCCCCCAAGCACTCCAAATATGGCCCCCAAACCAAAATAAAATTCAAAACGGGGGAAAAATTATCCTGGAAAACCTGTGTGAATCTGATCCACTAACTTAAAAGGCCTAAAGGCAGAGGCCCAAAGCAGCTTCTACCTGTGTGCCAGCCCACCCACAGCTTCCTTTTCAACACCTGCCCTGACTCAGGGCCTTCAGATGAGCCAGCTCCTAGTCATGTAACCTATTCCTAGTAATAAGTCAAGAATATAAACATCTGCTTATACACAGAGGAAAGCCTTCTTGTGCTTATGCGTGTAAGCTAGTGCTCGAACCCCAACTACACTTTTGGGGGAGATCCACACCCAGGGCTCCTGCATGCAAGGCACACCCTCCAGCCTGTTTAGCTCTTCCCTCCCACTTATATACAGACTTAGAAAAAAAAAAAAACCACCAGGAGTGATCCCTGATTGCAGAGCCAGGAGTGTAAGCCCTGGGCACTCTTTTCCAACAAGACTGGAAATGAGACTTTAAATCCTAGGATGAAGGGGCCAGAGCGATGGTAGGGCATTTGCCTTGCACAAAGCAGATGTGGGTTTGATCTCCAGCACTCCACATGGTGCCCCAGGAGCAGTAGGAGTACTTCCCGAGTGCAGAGCCAGGAGTAACCTCTGAGAATCACTGGCGGTGACCAAAACACAAAAAAATCCTAGCCAGAACTAGACACCCGAGAAAATCCCCCCAGTAGCCCTCAATTTGGTCCTGTCACACCTACCATCTCCCACCAATTTGGAATCTACACACATGGTGGTTCATTTGTAGGTGGTCATGAGTAAAGCTGGTAAGTCCAAGGCCTCAGCTCAGCAACATGCTAAGGAGCCGAACCTTAGTCCTCAGTGCCCTCAGCTTGGGAGTCTGGATCAAACCCCAGAGTCCAGTCAGACCCGCACCGCACCTCTTTGATGTCTTACTGCAGCTCGAGAAAACACTCACAGCCCAAACCTAAGAGGGAAAATCCAGACCCACACATCAAGCTGTGAAGCGCTGCCTGCTGCCAAGAGAAAGGCTGAACACTGTACCCTCTGGCCAAACCCTCACTGGAGACCTACCTTGTAGAATTTTCTGAGGTTTTCTTTCTGAGTCTGGTTAATGACGGTGAGAACACGGGCGATGGATTTGCGGACAACTCGGCTACAAAACAAGAGGTATCAGGCAAACTGGGTAAGACACACACACAGGCAAGGAGGACTGATTCCCAGGTGTAGAGACGAGGAACACCCCAAGGCAGCCTGAATCAGCTGACTGGTGGGAATGATGGACCCGGGACCCGGTGGGGTGACCAGGCCAAGCCTACCCCACAGGACACTAGGATATAAGGAAATACAGGGCTGACACTAGCTGCAGGCTGGGTCTAAGTGCCAAGTTGAAAAGGAGGCATATTGGGAATGAAGACCTCCCTCACTGTGGGGCTGGTAAAGGTAGTCTTGGGGCTTTGGCGTGCAGCCTGCCCCAGCGCCCCCCAAATCACCCAATTCTCTACCAACATGGTAAGTTAGGTGACTGTTGAATATGAGTGAAAGGTACTTTGTGGAACAGGAAAGATCCCGAGAGGCACCTTTGAACGTGGATACCGGGCCAGGTAGGGGGCTTGCCTTGTATATATGAAGCCCTGAGTTTGAGCCCGGGGGACCACAAACACACACAGCAGAATACAACAAAAAGACCCAAAACTAAAGAGAACGTGGGAGAAAGGGAACTTGTACCTTCCACAGTATTTTTTTTTTTTTGGGGGGGGAGGTTGTGGCCACACCAGGCAGTGTTCACAGCTATTTTCCCAAGCTCAGTGCTCTGGCGGCTGCAATCAAACCAAACCTGGCCCTCCAGCCCTTTTGCCATCTCCCGTCTGTCCCACAAACCGTAATTTATTCTCGGGCATTTAAAAAAAAAGGTGTCGCTTCGGGCAAGCACTTGGATGAGGCCTTTGAAGGTCTCCGGGGCTAGTTTTTCCCCCGCGAGAATGCAATCAGGGCAAAGCACGTGGGGGCTGGAGGCGCGTGAACAGAAAACACGCCCCAGGAAGAGAAGCAGCGCGCGGCAGCGTTTGCCTGGCGCCCCCTCGAGGCTTCCCCCGGTCCTGCCCGGTGTGCGCCGAACCCCGCACGGCGGGCACCCACGGGGCGCCCCGGGTCCGAGTCACTCACATCTTGGAGAGCTTGGACGCCGCGCCGCCCGTCACTTTGGCGACGCGCAGCTGCGACAGCTCCACCTTCAGGTCGTCCAGCTGCTTGAGCAGCTCCTCCTTCTTCTTGCCACGAAGGTCCCGGGCCTTAATCTTGGCCTGCGCGCGAGAGAAGGTCTGGCTAGGGCCGGGGCTGCTTTCCCGTCAGCCGCTCGCCAGGGTCGCGACGGCGACCCTCGGCCCCGCGTCCAGGCCCACCCCATTATATACACCGGCGGCGCCCGCGCGCTCACCGGCCCACGGTCTTCGGGGCGGAGGGTGCTTGCAAGGGATGCGGGCGTCAGGCCATCCCGCAGGGGGCCTCACGGGCTCGGTGGGCAAAGGGGACCCCCGGCCTCACCCCGCGCCTCCCACCCCAGCCCTCGAACCCCCCTGCAAGGCGGATGGCCCCCGATTTCCCGGCCTCACCATGTCTGATGAAGCCGCCGCCGCCGAGGCCTGCTCCGAGGGAAAGAGGAAGGGGGTGGGGTTGACCTCGGTAATTACTGCCGGGTGATGGCGGCAACAGCCAATGGCGCCACGAATCGCGCTCTGGCTCCGCCCCCGCTACCTGCCCTCTCCTCGCGAGGCGCTCCGGGGTCCGTCCCGCTCGGTCCCGCCCTCCTAGTCCCGCCCCTGGCATAGCCCCGCCTCTGCCATAGCCCAGGCCCCGCCCCTTCCTCTCGTGGCTTCTCTGCAGGTAGTTGCACTTGCTCGCTTAGGTGAGCCTGGCGCCTAGAGCAGCGCCAGTGGGTAACCGAGAGGCCTGGGGAGGATCTGAAGACGTCCGCTCAGTTATTCGTTCATTCATTCACTAACACGCGGCAGGTCTGGTTCGGGGCGGCAGTGTTGCGTGGGGGTGAGGGCAGGGGGAGGATTTTCCAAGATAATCAGTGATCCTGCCTTGGGGAAAATTCAAGGAGGGTGGGGAGAGGTGGAAGCCGACTTCTTAAACGTTCTGCTGGAGGCTGCGTGGAGCATGCAGGGCCAGGCTGTATTTTTACTTTTTTTTTAGTGAAACAAAATAGTTTTTATTGAAAGAAATTTACAGAGAGAGAGCGCAAGCTGGATAGAAAGACAGAGAATAGCAGGTTTCTCCAGAGTGGAAAGAGCAGCACCGACTTTAAAATTCTTATTCCGTTGCCTGGTGCTAGCTTGGCAAATCCTACTCGGAGTCTGTTTTCCTCATAAATGCCCCAATGGTTTTGGAAGATAATGCTTTGGAAGATCATGTAATGCTTTGGAAGATATCTTCCAAAGATAATGCTTTGGAAGATCATGTAAAGCTCTTAACTCAAGACCGCATGTGTAATTGCTCAAAGCATCATCTTTCCCATGGGAAAGGATGGGGGGGGGGGGGGAAGTTGTTGGAGGGTTGTACAGCCAGTAGTGCACTTGAACCCAGGTGGCCCAGGTCCGCTCTCTGGAGCTCCTGATGATTTCCGGGTAGGAGTGATTTTTGAGCTAAGAACCAGGAATTAGCCCCTAAGTATTGCCAGGTATGACCCCAAAACAAGCCCCCCCCAAAAAACCCCACAACAACTTTGGGTGCCGGAAACATAACTAAAAGGACTAGAGTGGATTTGATCCTTTAATACCTGACCTTGCATGGTCCCCTGAGTACCACTAGGAGGAAAATCCTACCCCCAGCCCCCCAGGAAAAGAAACAGGAGTGGGAGCCTGAGAATTAAATGGGAAATTTACATACACAAAGTGTTGTAGGCTGTATATATATATATATATATATATATATATATTATATATAAAAGTACGGTCTTGAACCTAAAGCAACCAAAGGCATGAAGGCCTTTATGACACAGGAACTGTCTTAGGAGACCCAGAAAAACTGGTGAGATGCAGAATTCCAGGCCCAGAGCATGGCTGGATACCCCCTGGAAGGAGAGGCTCCACTGCTGGAACTAAGACCATGCTAAAAATAATCACAAAAAAAGATCAACTGTCCCAAGCTTTCCTCTTTGACAACCACCCTAGCAAGGGTCTGTGGGGGAGGGGAGAGTTTGGGGAAGCTACATAAACTAAATTGGTAGCAGAAAAGGCACACATTTGCCTGTGTCTCTGCCTGAGTTGTTTTCATATAGCACAGTGGGTAGGGCGTTTGCCTTGCATGCAGCCAACATGGCCGACCCGAGTTCGATTCCTCCGCCCCGCTCGGAGAGCCCGGCAAGCTACCGAGAGTATTGGATATGCCAGACACAGTAACAACAAAGTCTCCAATGGAGACGTTACTGGGCCCGCTCGAGCAAATCGATGATCAACGGGAGGGCCTTAGTCTATAGCTTCTTTGGCCCTCATCTGTCTGAGATGTGAACTTTCTTAGGCCCCACTTCCTCATTCTAGAGAAACGGTCTGCACAACCTTGCCTGAGATCCATATTGTGTACTTTCTGCTCTGGAGAAGCCTCTGTTCCGTCATGCACAAATCTCTCATTTTCTAAATAAATTTGTTTTGCTTATTCATCTCTTCCCGCAATTCACGGGAGTGAAGGTGATAACTGTAGAAAACCAGGGTAAGATTTAGGACTGCTCCTTTCCTGTCAAAAGCAATTCCTGGGCCCAAAGATAGCAGGCAGGGTGCTTGTCTCGTACACGGCTGAGCCGGGTTTGATCTCTGGCATCCCAGATTGTTCCCTGAGACCAGTAGGAGTGATTCCTGAGTGCAGAGCCAGGAGTAACCCCTAAGCACTGCCAGGTGTGTCCCCCAAACAAGCAATTCCTTGCTCCTGCCTGGTTCCAGGCTCCTCAAGACATCAGGTGGCAGGGATCATTTCCCATGCCAGACAGAACATGAAATCCAGGTGCAGTTTGCCAACCTCATGGAGCTGGTGAGACAAACTTCAGGTCCTTGTTCAGTGGCACATCCTCAGGGACTCTTCTGTCATCTATTTCAAGGCACTCCCAGGCACTTACCTGAGGACTTAGAATATGGAGTTTTAAACTCTGCCTCTCTCACTGAATGGTAATCCACATTCATGAGCAAGGACTCAACTTCCTTTACCAGTTTACCTAGGGTCATTTCCTCAATTGTCAAGTGAGTATTGCTGATTTAAAGTTAATACAAAAGATCATACAGCAGGGGCCAGAAACATATAGCAGGAAGGGTGCTTGCCTTGCACTGGCACTTGTGGTCCCCCAACCATGGTCAAAACTTATTCCTAAGTGTAAAGCAGAAGTAAGCCCTGATCACAGTCAACACTGAGTATGAGCCCAAAACAGAAACAAATATTCGGGGGGTTGGATAGTACGGGAAAAGGAGTAAAGCATTTGCCTTTTAGCTAATCTGGGTTTGGTCCTAGGCACTGCATATGGTCCCCTCAGCACTGCTAGGAGTGACCCTGAGCACAGAGCTAGGAGCAAACCAGGTGTGTCCCATAAAACATAAGAAAAAAAGAACACGCCCCACCCTAAATTGTTTATTATCTGCAACCTGCCAGGGTCACAGATTCATTCCAAAGTATGTAGCCTTTCAAGGCAGATGGGTTTGCCTGTTTCTCGGATCTGTGGGTGCTCTATCTCTAACATATAAGATCAAGGTAGAGTAAGTAATCTTGTCACATTCATGAAAAATTCTTTATTCATCACTGTATCACTGTCATCCCGAATTATTCGAGCAGGCACCAGTAACGTCTCTATTCCTCCAAGCCCTGAGATTTTAGCAGTCTCTTCTTACTCGTCTTTTCCCAACGATTGGAGGCTCTTTCAGGGTCAGGGGAATGAAACCTGTTGTCGTTACTGGTTTTGGCATATCAAGAACGCCACTGGGAGCTTGCCAGGCTCTACCCGTGCTGCGGGCGGGATACTCTCGGTAGCTTGCCAGGCTCTCCGCCAGGCAGCTTCCAGGAAACCAAAGTCTTTGGGTTCCGGGGGGAGTATGGTTGCAAAGCTGAAACTTTATTAATGAATTTTTGTGTGTTTTGGCCACATCTAGTGGAGGGGGCAATGATAACCATGCAGTGGACGTAATCAAACCCATACTCGGTCCAAACCTTTGCATCATTTCCTAGGCTTTACTTGCATTTATTAAAGAGTACCTTTATTTTTTTTTTTTTGCCACACCCTCCGGTACTCAGCCCGGAAGTGGACTCTGCTTAGGAATCACTCCTGGTGGAACCTGGGAGCCATATCGGTGCTCAGGATTGAGGCCATGAGCTAGGCTAGCGACCTATCAGCTGTACTCTCTCCTGCCCCTAAAAAGGGGCAGTGTGAAAGCAATGATCCATTTTCATCTAAAGCCCATTAACAGAACCCCTCCAAGAGCAGCCCAGACACCTAATCCAGCCCGAGTCCTTGGCTCTGCCCTACCCCCTTACACCCCATCTTTGCCCATCTGACTCAGGGGGTTCTGAATCCGGCCTGGACCTGCCTCTCCAGTTCGGCTGGGTGTGACTTCTCAGCTGCAGGACCTTGTTCTTCCTGTTGGGGTAGTGGCTCATCTCCCCTGCCCCCCAGAGGGACTGCACCCCAGGCCACCTAGAGTCCAGATATTCACTACCTTCTCAGTCCTTGGCACACTCGTTTCCCACATTTAAACTCCCCAGTCTGGGGGGCCAGAGCGACAGTCGGACGGGCAGGACGTTTGCCTTGCAGGTGACCCACTGGGTTCAATCCCCGGCCTCCCATTTGGTCCCCGCACCCTTCCAAGGTGCGCACCGCCGGGTGTGCCTCCCTAAACAGGAAGGGTGCTTGCCTTGCACTGGCACACATGGTTGTGGTCCCCCAACCATGGTCAAAACAAACACTCTCCAGTCTTCAAACAGGGAGATGCTGCTTTGCACGCAGGGGTTTCACCTCTGCACAGAGCACAGAGGCGGAAGCAGCCCCCGAGCGTCGCCGTGTATCGCCCCCAAGCAGGTGTCCCCGTCCCCCGCGCCCTCAGGCCTCTCCCTGCCCTGGGCTCCGTGTCCCCCGGCGCCCCTCAACCCCACGCTCGTCCGCTCTCAGCCAGGCCGACAGCCGCGCGCGGACAGGGTCCCGGCGCCCGCCGAGCCGCCCCTCCCGCCCCGCGCGGCCGCCCGCACTTCCGGTTCCGGCGCGGCCCGGAAGTGGGCGGACAGCGGCGGCGGCGGCGGCGGCGGCGCGCGGAGGAGGTGGAGGAGGCGCCCAGCGGCCGCTTCCCGCCCCGGAGCCCGAGCCGGTGCGGAGCGGAGCGGTGCGGCGGACGGGCGCCGAGCCCCCGCCATGGCCCGGAACACGCTGTCCTCGCGCTTCCGTCGGGTGGACATCGACGAGTTCGACGAGAATAAATTCGTGGACGAGCAGGAGGAGGCGGCGGCGGCGGCGGGGGAGCCAGGCCCGGACCCCGGCGAGGTGGACGGGCTCCTGCGGCAATATCCTTCTCGGACACGGCGGCCCGGCCTTCGCCGGCTCGCACCCCTGGCCCCCGACCCCGGCCCCTCGGAGCCACTGCCCCGGGGGGCTGTCCCCTCCCGCCCGTGGCCCGCCTCCCCGCACCCCTTCCCGCGGCCCCGGCCCCCCACGAGGGCAGCCCCCGGCCGTCCCGCTACCCCCCCCCCCCGGGCTGAGCCCCTGGGCCGCCCCGCTTCGCTCCGCGGGGAAACGGGGTCACCCCGAGCTCGCTCGGCCGGGGCGGGGGCGGGGGCCGGGGCGAGCCGCCTCTGAGTAATGCAGCGGCCGGGCCGGCTCCGGGGCACGGTCCTGCCGGGGCGAGCGCCGTCACCCCCTAGTCACCCTGCAGCCTCGGGCTTCCTGGGAACCCCACCCCCACCCCATCCACCTCCCTGGCCGGGTTTGAGCGCGTCCAACAAGTTGGGTCTGGCTCTCGCGACCCCCCTCCCGCTGTCCCCCCCCGCCCCCCCCACGCCCATAGACTCTTGTGCAGGCAAACCCCTAGAGCTAAGGGAATGCAGAGCGTCCCGTGAAAGGGCCATGTGGGGCCTGGCCGCCGCCGGTGACAGCGCGGGTGGCCACAGAAGACCAGCCTTTCGAGAAGCAGGATTAAAAATAGAGGCGACTGTCACAAATAGAGGTGACTGTCACAGCCTGCTGGGCCCTCTGCAGTTGCCTTTGCACAGGAAACCGACCTCACAGGAAGGCGTTTTCCCTACCGACACGGTGCGGCAGGAAGCGCGCGCCCCTCCCCCTCGCCGGCGGGCTATAAATCAGGTTTTGGGGGTTGAGTCAGCCCCGCCCGGGAGGAGACCGGTGCCGTCTTCTGGGTGGACCCCACCTGGGGTCAGGAGACGGACTTGGGTGGGGCATGGGCGCTGCTCCCTGGGTGGGGAGTGAGACCTGGGTTGCCTACTGGGGTCTGCCTCCTGGCTGCGTCCCCCACTCTGGGCCCCTTGGGGAAGGTGGGTTCTGCCCACCTGGTTGTGGCCTTTGGGTTGGGTACTTGGCGGGGGAGGCGCGGTGTGAAGGTCATTTCCTACTAGGCTCCTTGAGACTAGGCTTACCCGCAGGGCTGCTGGGGTTGCTCCTCGAAGGTGCCAGAAACTGGTTGTCATGGAGAGCCCAGGCACCTCTTGGGATTGGGGAAAGGGAGGTTAGCAGGTGAGAGCCCCAGAGGGAAGAGCGGGGCGTTCAGTGACTCCCCGCCATTGCAGCGCCTGGATTTGATTATTGCCCCAGCTTAGGCTCCAACAGGCCTGTCGGGTCCTGGGGCAGAGTGGAGGGAAGAAGGGGTTGTCAGCTGTTTGGTTGGAGGCAGGAAAGGGGACCTGTCCCAGTGCTGTGAAATGAGTCAGGTGGTAGGGAATGGCACAGTGAAGGAGAGAAAGCGCTAGTTCACACCCTCTGAACCTCGGCCCTTCTCTGGTGGAGGAAGCAGCTGCATCTGCGGACAGTCCCCTGGAAGGCTCCTGCCCGCCACTGTCACCAGGTTGGCTTTGGTTCAGGCCCTGGCTTAGTAACCTTGAGCAGGTCATTCCCATCTCAGCCTCGGGTTCGTTGTCTTTCAGTCTTTTTAGTCCTGTGGGTTGAATCCGGGGGTTCATACATACAAGTCATGCACTTGACTGTAAAGCAAGTGCATCTTTGGTTCCCTCATTTCATTGGCTTTGTAAAGAATAACTCATCACCAGAGTAGGTAGCAGAAATGAGATGTGGAAACTTGTGGCTCGGTGGCTGAGCCGTTTCTCTGTTCAAAGTATTTGTTCTCTGCCCTCACTGAGGCGGTTGGTGGGAGCCAGGAGCAGTGGTTTGGGGTCTTTTTGCATTCTCTCCTCCCCTGAGGAAATCTGCCATTGTTTGGATGTTTTATTGTCAACTTCTGGGTGCTGCTGAACTCCGTGGAGAAGCCGGGAGTGCTATGTCCGTAAAGCATCTGGTCTGAAGTGTCCATAGTGCTGTGGCCAAAAAACCCTGATCTGGGGGAGCCCCAAGGCTGGGGGGTCGCTGGCTACACAGTTGGTCTGCCCTATGAAAGGCGCAGCAGCCAGCCTGCCACACTGTCTGATGCGGGGCCCCCTGTTAGCGTCTGTGCTGTAGGGGAACCTTCCTGCTAATGCATGCCCGCGTGAAGGTCTGGGAGGATGGAGATGGCTCTGAGCAGGGACTTGGCGCCCAGAGACTAGTTACTGGGCGCTCTTCCTGTCCAGAAAGCTGGCCCTGAGTGGAGAGTGTGCCAGCCTTTTCCTCGACACTTTGGGCTCTGCCGCTTGCTGTGGGATATCAAATTATCCAGAGCTGTGAGATAGACATTGCTGGTGGCTGACGCCCGCCTGGGACAAGGCCGAAGCTAGAGGGTGTGGGCTGCTTCTCTGATGGCGCAGGTGGGGCCGGGGCTGGTACTGTGGGCTCCGCTGTGGGAACAGGAGACACCTGATTGGCAGGAGCCCTTCCTTGTTCTATTTTTGAAGCCTTTTGGCTGAAGCCAGTGTTTGAGATGGGGAAATGAAAGTCAGATGATGTAACAGTTTAAAATAGGTGTCACCTTTGGGGACCTAACCCAGATTGTAACTATTTAGAATGTGGTGTCAGAATGACAGCAAAGTCCAGGGTATGTGTGTAGAGGGAGGAGGGCTCGGATCAGCTCAGGGAGTTCTTTTAGATGACTAACCCCCCCTCCGGAAGCAGTGGGGGGCTCACTGGCGTGGGTAGGATTTGTTGCCTGACAGCATTGTTTCTTTAGCAGTCGAACTGAGAGAACATGGGCGGCAAGTTAGACGGCCTCTTTGCCCTTGTCCCCTGGAGAGGCTGAGGATACCACCTGACCTGGTGGCTCAGTGGGGCAGGGGATGCCCGGCAGTGGTGGGCAGCGCTGGTCTGGTTCTGCTGCCAGCTGCCTGTGGTAGGTTTGCTCTTGCCTTTCAGGGAAAGAAGGGGTGACAGGAAGATGAACTTGCAAGCTTGGCAGAGGTGCCCTCCCCTCTCTGTACCTCAGGAAAACACTAGGCTGCCATTTGAACAGCCTTGCCCACCTAGAAGCTGCTGGTGGGCAGTGGGTGGAAGTGGGCAAGGTTCTGACTGCTTCTGAGCACGCGCAGACTGGAGCCAAGTCATCCTTAACTGGTGGTGATGCACAGGGGACATGCTTCGGGCATTCCACGCGGCTCTGCGGAACTCTCCCATCAACACCAAGAATCAAGCTGTGAAGGTAAAGGGGTCTTGTGGCCACCACTGACAGTGTTGGGGCCAGGCTCGGGCTGTCTGTCTCCTCACTGAGCACAAGCTCCCTGGGACGCTGGACCGCAGCTGCTGCTTCTCTCCACCAGTGACTAGCTGCCAGGGAAGGGAATTGGCACTGGGCAGTGCCACAGCCATTGAAGCTGTCAGTGTTGATAGCAAAAGCTCCCTAAGGAACCCACTGCTCCTCCCCAAGGCCGCCGGGTGAGAAGTCTGCCAAGCCTGCGATTGATTCTCAGATCTAGAAATGAGCTGGCCTTGGGGGACTTCCCGAGGTTCTGCTTTCTTAGGCTACTGAATAGATTTGCTCTACACAAGGATTATCAGTGCTACCAGATAATTTGCCCTCAAGGTCTGCTGAGGGCCGAGTATGTGCTTTGCATGTGGGGGTCTGGGTTTGATTCCCAGCACTGCATGGTCCCCCAGCACTTCCACTGTATCCTTCAAAATCTGGGAGGAGAGATGTGTCCAGCTGTACTTAACTGCTTCCGGGCAGGAGTCTCTGTGAAGCTGGAGTTTGTTTCTGTTTTTTAACATCTCTTGATGGAATCACAGACTGCCCCCAAATGTGGACAAGAAGGCACCCCCCCCCCCCCCACCACCCCATTCTGGGTGTGAATACAGAGGGAGGCTGTAGCCCAAACCAGCCTCGTTTTGATTTTTTTTTGAGGGTGTTGGGAGGGAGTCGTGCTACCCGGGTACTCAGGCTCTGCTCTTGGTGCCGCTCAGGGATCACTCCTGGCGGTGCTTTGGGGAATGAGATGTGTCGGAGATCAAACTGGGGTAGGCCGCATGCAAGGCAAGTGCTCTACCTGCTGGACTAGACTCACTCCAACCTTCCAATCTCTTTTTGTAAATCAAAAAGCCCCCCCAGTTGTGCTTTACACAGGGGCTGCCTGGTAGTATCCGGAAACTGCTGCTGAACTGGGAAGGTGGCTCGAAGGGCCAAGTGCAGGCTTTGCATACCCGGGGCTCAGGCTTCACTGCACTGCAGGTTCCTGGTGCACTACCAGGTGTCACCCCCACCTTTCCCCCAAAAAAACTATTGCTGCCTCTCCCCTTTCCCAGTAAACCACATCTTTCACTGTAGAATAATTTGAGTAATAAGGGACACTTTCAGTTTTAAATCAGTAAGAATTTTGACCCATTTTTCTAATTAAAATGGTTTTTAAATTGAACAGTGTTCTCGAATGATCAGTGTTCTGACCCTTTGGCTTGATGTGTTGGGGAGACAAAGTTCCTGAGGTGTTCAGGGGCTTCAGGCAGCCTGGGTCACCCAGACCAGGTGGTTCATTGCTAGGGCCTGAGGACGTGGGGCTGTGAGGACTACAGGGTGCGGGGGACGAGCAGGTCATCCCTGCAGTGCTTTGGGGGAAGAGGGGGTAGTGCTGGGGGACCACGTGGTTTGGGGCTTTGACCTCCACCTCACTGCTGTGGTGTTTGTACCCACCCCAGGGGTGCAGGTGTGCCTGGCCTGACGGCTTTCTTTTCTCTGTAGGAGCGAGCCCAGGGCGTGGTGCTGAAGGTGCTTACAAATTTTAAGAGCAGTGAAATTGAGCAGGCTGTGCAGTCGCTGGACAGAAATGGCATTGACCTGTTAATGAAGTACATTTATAAAGGGTTTGAGAAGCCCACAGAAAATAGCAGTGCAGTGTTACTCCAGTGGCACGAAAAGGTACGTGGACATAACCACTGCACACTGGCTCAGCCCAACCTAGGGGTCAAATCCACAGGCCAGACTCGCCTGGAAGGAAACAGTGGGTGGCTTGGGAGACTTTAGAGGGGACATGGGGCCGGTGGTGTGTAAGGTAGGTCAACAGGCTATTACTTTTTCACACTACTTTGAATTGGTTATGGGTGTCTTAGCAATACAAGGGGGCAGAGACAGAACTCTTTAAACTCTTTAAACAGGTCACTTAAAAGGCTCTCCACTCACTGGAAGCAGGAAAAGCCATGTCCATTCTTTATCTCAATCGGCCCATAAGTAAGGCCAAGCTTGCAGCCTGTATGCCAGTGTCCTGTAGCTGGCACTGCCTTCAAGGAGACTAAGTGGCCTTTTGGAAAGGCTTCTGCACTTGACGGGCCTGGTTGCCTGAGGGGACAGCCACTGGGCAGCCTTAGTCTGACTGGTGGGTTTGTGCTCTGCCTGCCCACTCAGAACATGGACTCCAGCAGTGCTCCGGGGAACAGAGGCAAGCAAGCCCTCTGCATGGTGGGCCAGCAGCCAGGCCCAGTGGCCCCTTAAAGGCACCCTAAGAAGTTAGATCTAATAGACCAGGGCCTGTAGGCTGGAAACTGAGTCTTTTGGAGGGAAAAACTAGGGCCCTTTGTGTGCTTGGTGATAAGTGGTTCTGACAGCCCTGGCTCTTGGACAGGACACTGTCCTGGAACAGGGCCGTCTCCTAAGTGGTGTTGGGTGGCCCATTTTCAGGGGGCCTGTGATACGGCAGGACCTTGGTCAGCGAGTACATGTCCCGGGCCAGCCGGCCAGGTCTCATTTGTTTCTTTTCCTGCCCCACAGGCATTAGCAGTAGGAGGACTAGGATCCATTATAAGAGTTCTTACTGCGAGAAAGACTGTTTAAACAACAAAAAGACTCATGTTACCTGGAGAATTTTGGATGCGCAGGCTGGTGAAGAAGGAACTGACAACCAACCGTCTTCCTAGTAACTTCTAACTGATCTGTTTCAGGACATGCATCTGAAGTGTATTTTATTTTCAAGGTGGAGGGAGAAATCGTCTGTTTCCTAATCCTTTACAGGACCTGATAGTCTATGCCTATGTCCGCAAGTCCTGCAAAACTGACATTGTGACTCTACTGGAGTGACAGCCAGCACCAGTCGGGGCACCTGCGTGCACTGCCTATTGAAAGGGGACTGAGATGAGCAGGGCAGGCGCAAAGCCAAGGGCTGTGGGGAAAGGGAAGCTTGCTTTTTGGGAGTGGAGAAACTTGAGGGTTTTTTAACAGTGCCCTGGCCTCCCAGAGTAGGCGGGCTCTCATGGGTTCATTGTAAAGTGCCTGCTGCATCAATAAAGCTCTTGGCTTATTAGTTCATGTGTGCATCATGTCGTGTCATGTCTGTATATAAGGTGGACAGTGAATGGGATGACGACGCCAGTGGGAAGTTGGGAGAGGGTGGACACGTCCCCCTTTAGCCACCTCCAGAAGCTAATGTCAGTGACACTGTCCTGCCCCAGTAGGAGCTCAGGCCTGGGTTGCAGTGTTAACAGTTGCTTCAGAGAAACGTTTCACTTTTGATTCTGTGGAATTTTGGAGTTAAAGTGCCAAACACTGACTTCGTTTTTCCAATTTTCCCGTTTGTGTGACTGTACTTGGAGTGGAGTAGACCTTGGCCTGCTCCTCATCTGACACTGGGTATAATGATGTGGGCACTCTTACTTGAGACGTGGACAAGTTTTCATTTTTGGTTTTGGGCCACACCCGGCAGTGCTCAGGGCTTACTCCTGGCTGTGCTCAGGGATCATTCCTGGTGGTGGTCAGGGGACCTTACATGGTTCCAGGGATAAAACCTGGGTTGGCTGTGTGCAAGGCCAGCACCTTACCTGCTGCACTCTTTGCCCCTCCCCTCCCCCACCCCCCAAGGCTAATGGGGCCTCCCTCCCACGTGTTTGAGTCTCAGCATCACCCAAATATGCACCTTTAGATGCCACAACCAATGAGCCCCTTGACACTATCAAAAGGGCCAAAAGCCCATCTGTTGCTAGCAATTGGTTTATACATATAAAAACGCAAGGTTTTATTCTCGGAACCAATACTAAGCAGAGCATAGTTTCTTGTTTCAGCACATGGAGCTGCATGCAGTTTGACAAGTCCATCGGGTGATGCCTTCTGAAAGACGTATCCTTTAAGTTAGCTTTTAGTTATGAAATATGTAATGGGCCGGAGAGAGCTCAATGGGCTGGGTGCTTGCTTTAAATGCAGGAGGTCCAGGTTTAATCCCTGGCACAGCATGGTTGTCTGAGCACTGCTGATGTGATCCAAAACCAACAAAAAGACAATTCTAAATTTAACATGTGAAATAAATATACACCAAGCTATCAAGTAAAACCCACTGTAGTTACATCTGGATTGAAGAGCTTTAATCAAAAAGTTATTGCACCACAAATGAAGTTTCTACAGCAGGTTTAGATAGTACAATTGCTATGTACAACAGGGTGGGAGTTCAAGGTCTGACGCCATGGCAAGTTATATATACTGTCACAGAACAATTTGTACAAGTAAAAGTGCATTCAATCACTTTGTATATTTATTTCACGCTTCCTCTTAAAGCTGAAGGAATTTCACCATGCGGGAAGAAAGCCTAATCAGCATGGCTCCTCCCTAAGCAAGTACAATCTTAGTGGGGGCCCCTAAACAGCACGGAGAACTGCCAGGGACGTGGGAGTGTATGAAACCAGCTCAGTGGCTGGAGGAGCCAGAGGCGGTGGCTGGCGCTCCCACAGCTGTGCTGTGCTGCTGCGGCTCTGCCAGCTCCTGAATTCTGAAGCTCGTGGGGGTCTGTCCTGGAAGGCGGAAGTCCTAGTTTATAAATAAAGTCACCTTTCTGTCCAAAGAACAGAACAGAACACCTGGTTCATGACCCCATGAGGGAAATGGGAATGGAAACTAGTATTCTGAACCTGGACTATGCTGCAGGGAGGAACCACGGGAAGAGGTAGGTCACTGAAAGAAAGATCTGAGCCCTAAGCACATTGAGAATTGTCACTTATATCATGGGAAAACTGACAAATTTAGTTCCAATTACTAATTCAGTTTTTCTTAACCGTGAAAATTGTATCAAATATAAACCAGTAAATGGTTTCTCTCTAGGTTTGATACTGTGACTTATCCAGGGCAAACATGTTCCTTTATCTTAAAAATAATGGATACATATTATGTCTCCATAATCCCACTTTCTACAGCCATATATAAATGTAGTGTAATCTGAAGTGCTGAGGCAGGGGGGTCCAGATCAAGGGAGACTGCCTCTAATGTGGCCAAGGCTGCGGGGAAGAACAGTAGTCTGTCCTGAATAGCAGAGAGTGTGATTAGCATTTGCTCTGGGTTACAGCACAGAATTAAGAGCAAAGCAAATGAAATCCCACAGAGTTTCAGCAAAATTACAAGGGGCACAGCCATTCCCATCTCAGAAATAATTTCCATTTCCTCTTGATGCTCTGATTTTCCTTTAAGAACACCATTTAGTTTTATAATACAGAAGACGTTTATAATAGTGAAGAGCTTCAGCTATAAAAAATAGTTTAAAATGGTTTACCAGCAACCTATCCAAGACAAGTACATTCAGTGAAAAGGCAATTGAGTGTATTTGGTACTATTACGATTTTTACACATCTGCTACTTTCCTTCCATAAAATGGGCTTCTGTCACGGAGTTGCATATTTGTTAATCCACACTGGCCCCAGAGAACCTTCACCATAGACACACTGAAGGTTCTCGGTGGTTGGGGAGATAAGGTGAAATAGTATTTTCTTGACAGGAAGGGTTAAGAAGCCTCTTTTACCTCATCGAAAGCCAAACATGCTCCCTGGTAGGGGATCAGAAAAGCTGCCTGTGCTGAGCGGGTTCTCTGTGGCAGCAGCAGGTCTGGCTGCTGGGTTTGGTTCCCAAGGCTGCTGTGCTGTGTTGTGTCATGCCCAGCGTCGCACTACCTGGCAGCTGTGCCTCCTGACAGCCGCTGATGGCTTCTGCTTTAAATGCCAACATGAGAAGTCAGTAGGCTTGGGTGCGAGGGCCCCCTCCAGCCAGCGCTGGCATCTTAACAGCATAGTGGAAATGGGCGGTGTGGCAGGACCCCGCTGGGTGATTAGAATGACACAGGATCCGCTACCTCCTGAGGTTTCTACCAGCCTGCAGGGAAGTGGGCCTCAAGTCTTGTAAACAATGTTTAGACGCTTGTACAAAATACTGCAGTTACAGTGATTAAAAACCCACCCTGCCTATTGTGTCAGTGTTCTTTTCACAGAAAAAGTGTCCGTCCGTGGAGCCCCTGCCTGGGCTTGCTTCCCCTAGGACCACGGGATCCGAGGGCTGGAGATGGAGGGCCGAACGCTGCCCTTGGGAGCTGGCTTGGACCCGAACCATGACATCTGGGTTTGAAAGAGAAAAGACCTTGAGTGAGGAAATTGGGAGTCAGGGGCAGATAGCATAAAGGGTCCCCTAATGCCAGCCTTCCTGGAGATGAGTGGGCAGCTGACACCAAGGCTGGACCTGCCAGGCTGCAGGCAGAGTTGGGAAGGGAAGCAGGAGAGAAAACAGTGGACAGGAATAAGTGGAACTGGAGGCCATTTTACTAAAGTTTTTCTTGTTATGCAAGTAGTTCCGGAGTACTTTTGTTTTTACTTTTCACAGTGCTGGGACTGAACCCAGGGCCTCACACACGCAAAGCATATAATACCTAGTCATCGAATGTTTTACTTGGCTTCTTGAGCACACCCAGCTGTGCTCAGGGCTTACTCCTGGCAGTGCTCAGGGGACCTGATGTTGTGATAAGAGGAATCAAACCAGGGCTACTATGTGCAAGGCAAGCACCTTAACCTCTCTATCACCTCTCTGGTCCCAGAATAATTTCATATTTAAAAACTTTTTTTTTTTTAAAGTCCTGGTCAAGCTGAGGCTCCTGACAAGTGGGATTGGTGAAAAGTGCTCTGAAAAGCATGGTCAGTTCAGTACAGACCTGGGCACAGAGCAGCCCTCAGACAATTCTGCCACAGGTCAGTGGCGAGACAAAAGCTGCACAGGGCATGCTCCCGGAGCGCTGTGGGCGCTGTGCTCCAGCACAGCAGGGCCTACCTTATACTCCAGGGTCTCCTTGAGCATGCTCTCTTCCTCCTGTGAAAAGTTCAGCAACACCGACACGGCTTTTATAAGCTGGAATGCCTGCAACACAGAGGTCAGGCTGCCGTGGGCCTGGGGCAGAGTCTCAGAGGCAGCCTCTGAGTCCGCCTGTGATTCGAGCAAGGCCCTGTGTAGGCAGGAGGGGCCTGCAGAGGCCTCCAGCGACCACCAGTCTTTTATTCCTTACCACCTCTGGCTGGGCCAGCAGCAGGAGCAGGACGCAAGTGCTGGTGACTGGGCCCTGCGCCCTGGGCCCTGGCACACCCCCCAGCTCACTCCAAGGCCCCACCAACTGCCACCACTCAATCAGTGAGGCCAGCAAGAGAAGGGAGCTTGCTCAGGTCAAGTCAGAACATGGGGGTGGAAGACACAGACTTGAGAGAAGGTCCAACAGGCTCAGTTCCTCCAGCCAGGTTCCCCCAACAACCCCTAAGCGCCTTACCTCAGATTCGCGACAGGACATGAACTTTAAAACCACGTGCTTCAGGTACTCGAAGTTGATCTCCCGGGAGTCAGTCAGGTCAGCATTATTGGTCATGACAGGAGCCAGGCTTGGCATCTCGGGTCCGGGCTTCTCCCGGACTTCAAAGAGCTCGTTGTCAGGTCGAATTTTCTGAAAAACCAACATAAAGAAGCTGCATCAATGCTTCAAGGCAGGTCAGGGGTCCCATGAGAGTCTCAGCTGCCTCCCACATGGGCAGGCCCGTACTCCCTCAATCCCCTGCCATAGGAAGCACCAACACCGGGAAATCTTGGCTCTTCCCCGAGTCTATGCTGAGGTGCTAGTACCCCAGCATGTGGCCTAGAGCTCCGCCACCTTCCTGAACCTTGGACAATGGACAGGCCGGGGGCAAGAGAGCACAGGCCCAAGGTTGGGGCCTCTTCATCAGAGCTTGCTCACTCTGCAAAGTCATCTGCAACCGGGGAACCCTGCATTCACCTGACCCGGAGGCACTCACCAGCTCCTTCTGCAGTGTCTTTCGGAGTTCCAGCATCCTCTGTTGCATCTGCTTTATGGTCTGAGACAAAACCCCCACCCCCCGAAAAGAAGACCATTTGTTAAAGGCACATTTAACCACCTTTAAGTTGCAAGGGAGACAAAATGGTTCCCCCGCCACACACACCTGTGAGGGTACCTGCTTCATCCCAAGGTCACCCTGTGCCTGCTGCCCTAATCTGGCCCGACATGGATGGCACTTACTTGCTTTCCTGCCCATAAACCCCTGGACCTAGCTGAGCATGGGGACCTGCACTGGCCAGGCTCAGCTTTGTGCTGGGTGTCCTGTCCCACTGGGATTACCATCGAGGAGCTCCCACCCGCCACCATGTCTACACTGCCAGCCCACTCTGGCTGGTCCTAGCTGGGGAGGAAGATTCGGCCCCTAAGACTCACCATGATGGACTCCAGCTATTCCCTTGGCAGTAAGCTCAGTTAGCGCCTTGGACCTTGGGTGGCATGGGTCTTGGGGTCTTGGGCAGGGATCTCTTTCAAATTAGGGATTTCTCAACCCTAGTCCCTAAAGCAACAGAAACTCAGGGGCTCCCCCAGGCCTTACTGAGTGGCGAAGGTTCACTTCTGTTTTCAGCTTTTGGGCCACACCCGATGGTTCTCAGGGTTTACTCCTCACTCCATGCTCAGGAATCATACCTGATGGTGCTGGGGGATCATATGGGGTGCTGGGAATGAAATATGGGTCCGCTGCATGCAGGGCAAGCACCCTAACCACTGTACTATTGCTTGGCCGCTGAGGTTAAACCCAGCTCAACGAGTCCTCAAGCACTTCTGGTCTCTGAAGTCCAGAAGTACTGGGCTGAACAAGGGCCACATGGTTTGGATTTGTATCCTCAAGCCCAGAGGCTGTACACTCCCCCTGAAAGCACATCTGCTACTTTATCTTGTCTCATTTGATTTTCTAGGTTTTAGGCTCATTAATGAACTCCACAAAGCATACTGAGTCCTCACTATGCCAAGTATCCCTGTCCCAAGGGGCTGGAGAAGAGAGGGAGACAAATAACTGGCCTCAGAGGGCAAGTGGTGTCCCACATACAGAGTATCAGAGGCCTTGACAAGAGGCTTCACTGGCCACATGACACTAAAGAAAGTGAGGGTGATGGGGGGAGGGCCTCAGCTGGGGTCTTCAGTGCAAAAGTCCAGTGGTAGGAGTGGGGCGCTGAAACACACTGAGGGCAGACATGTGTGTGTGGGTGCGCAGGACCTGGGCAAGTGAGAAGGACAAGCCAGAGCAGTGGTGGGGACACAGCTGAGGTGACAGCCAGCCAGAACCATGAGGACCCCAGCTGCCCCCAGGAGTGCTCCAGGGATGAGGTAGGGGTACGGGACTGGCCTTGCTGGGTTTGATTCCTGGCATCCCATTTCGTCCCCTGAACACCTCCGGGAGTGATCCTTGAGTGCAGAGCCAGGAGTAAGCCCTGAACCCTGTTGGGTGTGGCGCCAAACAAACAACAACCCCCCAGAAGAAGTGCTCCAGGGAAGAGCAGGTACTGCAGGATGCGGAGTGCTAGGATATTGCTGTGAGAGGAACAGAGGAGCAGACAAGGACACTGGGACAAGAGCGGATGAGACAAGCCAGGGCATGGGGCTTGGGGATGTCTGGTTTCTGGGTCACACCTGGTGGTGCTTAGGAGTTACTTTTGGTCCTGTGTACAGGGGTGGTTCCCAGCATTGTTTGAGGGACCTTGGAATGCTAGGGATCACAATCAGTCTCTCTCTCTATCTCCCTCTCCCAACCTTCTCTGTCTTATTTTTGGGTCAAGCTTACTCCTGGCTCTGTGCTCAGGAATCACTCCTGATCTTACAGAACGCAGGGGACTGAACCCAGGTTGGCTGCGTGCGAAGCAAGCACCCTCCCTGCTGTACTAATGCTCCAAACCACCCCCCTCTTTGCTTTTCCCTCCTTCTATTCCTCTCTTTCTTCTCCCCTCCCTTCTCTTTCTAGTTTTTTGGCCACACCCAGCTGTGCTCAGGGCTTACTCTTGACTCTGTGCTCAGCCATCACTCCTACAGGCTCAGGGGACCACATGTGGTTCCGGGGATCCAGATTGACCCCGTGCAAAGCAAGTGCCCCACCGTCTGCACTGTTAGTCCAGTCCCTCTTGGATTTTTTAATAGAGGCCACACCCTCTGGTGCTAGAGGTGGTGAGGGCATGTGGTGACAGGATCAAACTCGGCCTGGAATATGCTGAGATGAGTTCTGCCTGGACCTAGCTGGATGGGTGCAGTTTCTGATGCCCTCTAGACACTGGTGCAGAGCTGAAAGTGCAGAGTTCAAGGGTGGAGACTTAGAGTGGGACTGTGCAGGGACAGGAGGGCAGTCTTGGATGCCAGCAGGCTCTCCTGTAGGACTTTCCTGCCTATTGTTTCTATTTCAGTCAGATTATGTGGAGGGAGGGAATCGAGGGAAGGGAGAATACTTTCCCTTCCCCTCCTTAAATGACTGAAGTACCCATGAGCACGTGTGCACACACAAATACACATACACACCACACAATGACACAGACAGACACAGACACACACACAGACACAGACACACACACAGACACACACACAGACACACACACACACACACACACACCCACACACACACACAACGTGGGGCCTGGGGTTGCTTTCCAGCCTGCAGCCTTCACAGGGCTCAAATACTGACGCCAAGGCAGCAGTCTGTGTGTGGTGATGTCCAAGTGTGAGCCACAGGGAAGAGCACTGGCGGCAGTGTTCCAGACCCAGGAGCTAAGTCAAGGCTCTGTGCATCCGGAGCAGAGTCCACGTGGAAGCCAGGCCCTCGGGCAGCACCTGCATGGGCCAGCCAACTGCCCTGCCCTCTGTCAGAGCCTAAGGGGGGTGGGGATGTTGGGGGTGGCTGCAGAGAGCAGGGGAGGGAGCCAGACGCACAACTCTGCGGCTCCGGCCCCGCACCTGGCATCCTGGCGTTCCCTCAAGGAGTGCGGCAGTAGCACAACACAGGCAGGTACAGAAGCCCAGGAAAACCCTGGTTGCTGTAGGGTCAGGGTGCTACTCTGTGAGGGAGAGACAGAGGGTGTGGGCGGGGAAAAGTGAAAAGTGGAGGGAAGGAGGCCACACCTTGTTTTTTTCCAGGAGTTGTTGCTCCAAGTCCCGCTTCTCCTGCTGCAGCTGCCCGAGGTCCGTGATGCCCAGCTCACCGTTGGGTATTTCTGCTGCTGATGGGAGCTGGTCTACTGGATCCTGCAGGGCCTCCGAGGTACCCTACAGGGAGGGGTGGCAAGATGGGCACTGAAACAGCACTGGTGACACGTGCTGCCACAGCTCCTGGGCTCTGTGAGCCTCATGACCACCCAGTCCATTGAGCGTCCCCACTTTTAGGAAAGCAAAAGCCCCTGGGCATTGGCCCGTCCCAGAGCTAGAGATCCCCTCACTGGGCGTCTGCACCCCCTTCCTGCCCTCAGTGCTTCCAGAGTCCCTGAAGGCTGTACCTGAGGTGCCACCCCCTGCTCCTGAGCCTGCAGCCCCAGCAGGTCATCCTGGACCTCCTCTGCCCGCAAACTCTGAAGCGCCTCCAGTTCCCCCTGCAGCCGGTGCATCTGCAGCAGGACCGCTTCGTGACCTGGGCCAAGAGGGACATGCATGTGAGCTTGAGCTGTGGGGGCTGTTTGGCAGCATGTGCACCGCTCCCCCCCGCCCCCCGCACCAGCCCCTCACCTTGCTGCAGCTGCTGGAGCTCCTGCTCCTTCCGGAGCACTGCTTCTGTCTTCTCATACAGACTCTGCTCCTTCTCGCTGATGACAGTGGTCAGGTGAGCCACCTTGGCAAGAGAGACCAAAGCAAGAGGCAGTTGGCAGCAGTAGCTCTCTGCCCAAGGACTTGGCCCTTTCCTCTGACCCATAATCCCTGTGAACTCAAGCACTCAGTGGGCACCTGGTAGTTCCTGTGAACAGCCCCCCAAACCACACCTTGGCAGGGTGTGGTGTCAGCCTGCCCACCATAGCCTGTGCCCCACAGGGTGCGCATCTGAGGCAGTACCATCCCACTCCCAGAACCCAGGGTCTGTTGAGAGGCCGTCTGAGGTTCAGACTCAGTGAGATGGATCAAAGCCGAGAGCCCATCACCGGAGTGTCTGGGCCTGACACCATGTCCTCAAAGGCAGGACTGGTCCAGCTCTGAGAACTGCAGCCCCCGTGTTATTTGACTGTGACCCTGATCCAGGGTCTGTGACTGTGACTCGCTGACTCTCACACTGAATCCGGCACTGTGAGGGTCGGGGCTGCTTTATCCCCCTTCCAGTGCTCGCTAGGGTCTCAGAGCCCTGTGTGGGCCCACCTGCTGCTGGAGCTCTTCCCGCTGCTTCTGCACCTCGTCCAGGGCTTGGGCCACGGCCAGGCTCACCCGTTCCTTCTGGCTCCATTCTTCCTACACCCAGAAAACAAGGAGGAGATGGAGCCCCGCAATTCAGTTCCCTGTGGGGACATACTGCAGGAGTAGAGGGAACAGTGTCCTACAGGGCAGGCAGCATCCCCTGCAGCGGCCTCTGTGACGAGAACCAGTGACTACATTGGCTGTTCAGGAAAGAGATGAGACCCAGGGGAACGCCCAGCATCCGGGAGCCATGTCAGGGCTGAGGAATTCCGGGAAGATTTTCACACATTGTCAAGACGGAATCTTTGCTGCATGAGCGAGGGGTGGAGCCAGGAATAAGCCCTGAGTAGCACCAGGTGTGGCCCCCAAATCAAAGCCGGGAAAAAAAAGAGAGAGAGATCAAGAACCAGTCATGAGAAGAGAGACAAGCAAAGGTAGGAAGCAGCACTCAGAACCCCCCCTCCCCCCCACTGGGAAGAGCATCCCCAGCCCCCAGACCTGGGGCTGATCTGCAGGTGAGCCACTGTAAGTCAAGGGCAATTTGCTTTAGTATAACGGAACTGGATTTCTGCAAAAACCAACTAGTGTGGAAAAGCTGACTTAGATAGTCCTGCAGCACCCAAGAGTGTGCCAATGCCACAGAACCATGCTGGACCTGGCATTCTGCCTGACAGACACAGCTCAGTTTTGCTGCTGAAGCCATCAGGCCACCAAGCTGGTATGCAGAGGGGCTCATGAAATACTTTTTTTTTCTTTTTTGGTCACACCCAGAGATGCTCAGGGGTTACTCCTGGCTTTGTGCTCAGGAATTAATCCTAATGGTGCTCGGGGGATCATTTAGGATGCTGGGGATTGAACCCGGGTCAGCCGCGTGCAGGGCAAATGCCCTACCTGCTATCACGGTATATTGCTCCGGCCCCAAGGAAATACTTATTTTGAAAAAACATGAATACCACTAATTCTAAATGTCTCTACCTAAAAAATACACGTTTCCAAACATGTGCTGCCGAGACTGTTGGGGATGGAGGGAGAAAGGAAAAGTCCATGGTCCCAGCCAAAGGGCTAATGCAGCCCTCCAGGAAGAGATGCAACCAGCACTGCATAGGAGATTTGCAGAGATGGTACCAGGGACCCCAAAACTCTACCTTACCAGCGTGTGCAAACACCTTTTCACCAGCCTCAGACTATATGCTGATGCAGACAGCCAAGGCCTGGGCATAGGAGAAATCTCAATCAACAGACCAGGGGCCAGAGAACAGCAGGTACTCTGTACAGCACTTGCCTTGCACACGACTGACCTGGGTTTGAACCCAGCACCCCAGCTGGTTCCCTGAGGCCCACCAGGAATAACCCCTGAGCATCACTGGGTGGGGCTCAAAAAAACCAACCAAACAAAAAAGCCCAGGTGGAATTATTTAGTATATTTGTTCGCCATCGTGGCATTAATACAGAACCCCAAAATACTGAGAAAATTCCCTCTAGGCTTGGAAATGAACTGCACCTTAGGCGCAGCTGCAGCATCTTGGCCACACCCAGCTTCATACTTGACGAGGAGCCTGCAAGTGCTCTACAGTGCTCTCTGCCCATGTGAGACAAGAAGGGGACGGGAGGGAGAATGAAGACTGGCACTCCTGATATCAGACTCTGCCAGCAACAGGGGCTCTGCTGGCAGCAACATCATCCTGAAGAAACAGCTGCACCCACTGTGCAGTTGAACCTACTCACTGCCCCACCCCCCTGACAATGACTGTGCTGAGAGTCAAATCTGCGGGGCTTCCTCCCCTTAATTTCTACATTTAGAAACTCCCACTTCCTCCGTGGTCCCTTAGCTCCTGCTTGCTGCAGCTGCTCCCTCTCAACGCTTCTCATGCTGTCTGCCCTGGCCACGAAATAGGCACAGGAACCTAAGGCTCTTTCCCAGGCCTGAACCCCGAGTGACCCTGGGGGTGCATCCATGTTGCTGCTTCTGTGCTCGCACCTGCCATCATCTCTTCTCCTCCCTGTGTTTCCCTCCTTACATCTGGAACTTACATCTAGGAATTTATGTTTCCATCTAAAATTTTCCTTTACCCCCAAGATATTCTTGACTGCTTTCTTCAATTGAAATCTAGTGGGGCCGACTGCTGTTGCTTTATTGATTTTCTTTATTCTACTACTCTAGGATTTCTGGGCAACGATTTACTTTCCTGTTCCAGTCTGTAAGGACAGGGACTTCTATATCTTAAGTCAGTGGCTTTTAACTGTTTGGGAAATTTCAACCTTTTCTCTCCTCAATAATTTCTCTTTCTTTACTCTAGGCCTCCCACTGACACAATGTAACATCTTATAGGATCCTCTTTGTCTTTAGTTTGAATTTCTGCATTCAATTCTACTTTCTTCTATGTCACCAATTCTTGTTTTAATGAATTATGCTCACTGCTTTTAAGAACAGTCTTAATGAAGTATAACTGATGAGCTAGCTGCATCATTCTAAAGTGATGTGACGGGGCTCCAGAGCGACAGTATAATGTGCTCAGGCAACACTCCTGACAGGACTCAGGAGACCATATGTGGTGCAGGGATCAAACCTGGGCCAACAAGCACCCTACCTGCTGTGTTATAACTCTGGCTCCATCTTATTTATTTATTTATTTTGGCTTTTGGGGTCACACCCAGCAATGCTCAGAGGTTACTCCTGGCTCTGCACTCAGGAATTATTCCTGGGAATGCTCAGGGGACCATATGGGATGCTGAGGATCGAACCCAGATCGGCTGCATGCAAGGCGAATGCCCTACCCACTGTACTATCACTCCTGTCCCTCTGGTTCCATCTTTAAGCACTTCTGAGATCTGCATTAGCAATTTCAAAATTATATTTGGGATTCTACTTCCTGACCCATGTCTTTTATCTCTTTTAAACATGATAAACATAGTATTTTGTGAATCTTTTTTCTGTCCATGTTGTTTTGTAATTTACCTGATCATTGATTTTGTGCTTGAATTAAATGTTTAGAGGTCCTGGATGGTTTCTTCAGGGAATTTTCGTTTTCTGTTTTTTTTTTCCCCCTTTGAGCCTGGACACCAATCATTTCCAATCAACTTAGTTCAACATTAACTAAGTGAATTTTTGGCCACTCTATCTTCAAGCTAGTACAGTAAAACAGGGCAGGGAAGGGTGTGGCAGGGCGGGGCAGGTCACGGGTCACTTCTGGTGCACACTATGGTCTCGGTCTCCTGTGTAGTCCTTGGAAGCTCCAAATCAACGCTCTTAAGGCTGTCCCAGGCAATTTTTTTTTTTGGTGGGGGGGCATATGCAGCTGTGCTCAGGGGTTGGTTATTCCCCAGTGATATGCCCTAAGAATCACTAGAGCAGTGGCCAGAAGCACGGAGTCATGTAAATCAAACAGGAGATGAGTGCCATTCCCTCCTCTCACTCCTTCTGTCTGATCCACGGCAGTGCTACAGCCCCAGCTCGAAAACTGACCCTAGGCCCTCTTCCCACAGCCCAGTGTCAGAAGTGGACAGGCCTGCTTGCCTGCCTCCAGCTTCTGTCCTGGCCTCCTAACAGCATGCCCATAGAGCCAACTACTCAGGCAAGGAGGAGGCTTATGGGCTGAGTCAACTAAGCCTATTCCTGCCCCAGGCCTTCTGTTTGCTATTTCCTCTCTTCTCATCCTCAGTTGGATCCAGACTCTAAATGTTACCAAAGCTCTTCCCACCAAATAAATTTTCACAGGCTTCTCTCCCTACTCCATTCCTCATCCTGCTTAACTTTCTGCATCTCATTTACCACTTAACACTAGCTTCACAAAGGAAAAACTGCATCTGTTTTTTGTTCACCCTCACAGCATCTTCAGAGGTGCCCTGTACTTACAGAAACTCCAAGGACTATTCAAGTAAACATGAAGAAATGATCTGGGCCTAGAAGATGTCTCAAAGGGCTAGAACACACACTTTGCATGCAGGAAGCCCAGGTTTGATCCCTAGCAACACACATGGTTCCCTGAGCACCCCTGGGAGCTGCCCCCAAACCCTGCCAGAGCTGGGGATGTGGCCTGAATGTCAAAACACATGCATGCAAGAACTTGGATTAGATCTGTAGCCACTGGGCGTGGCTGCCACCCAAGTAAGAAATCCTGACCCCAAAGTACATATTTCCCACAGGGCTTCCAAGGACGTGGCAGGCCAGTCCGGAAAGCTCACTCTGCACAAGCCCTGGACTTTCCCATGGCACGTCAGTCCCCCAAAGAGCCTGGTTTAAGGCTCAGGGGAGCCCAGGGCCTAGGGAAAGTGGCAGTCTCTTTCCTCTTCATCGATTATATACAGGGAATGAAGGGGCAGCATGGACTGAGCACCAGGCTCTTGGAATGGGGATGGGGGGACCAGCAGGACATAGTCCGAGTAAAGGTCCCCTCTGAGCTTTGCTCTGCAGCTCTCTCTGGAGACACCAGCATGGGGAAAGCACAGGTTTCAGGCACTGGGGACAACGATATGGAGGAAAGGCTGGGCCTCAGAGGGAACATGAAAAATCAGACCAAGCACCAACTCCAGCGATGGAACATGGACAATGACTTATGTTCAGAGACCCCAAAACATTTTAATGATCAAATGAGCAAAAGTCTCCCTATTGTTCTGGACCACTGAAAGGCTACAATGACAATTTCTAGCCAGTGCCCAGAAGCATCGAACACACGCTAGGCTCACTCCTTTCCCACTATAGCAGAGAACTGCCACTTGGCCACGGGCAACGTGCAAGTGAAAGACATGGATGCTTGAGAACGGGCCCAATGAAATACATACCTTTAGCTTCTTCAGTTCAAGTTGGTGCTGGTGAAAAGAAAGTTCACATTCATTTTTACTTTCTCTAAGGGCTGCATTTTCTTGCTCCAGTTCTCTCTGCAAATTGAGAAAACAATACAGATAAAGGAAAGTCTTAGGATGGGGGTACAATTCAAGAGGCATAGCACGTTCCTGGCATGTGTGAGGCTCTGAATTCAATCCTCAGTACCACACAGTCCCAACCCACAACCTGTTGGTCCCTGAGCCCCAAATATTTAGGCCTGCACAGCCTCACTATGGTGTGGAAGTGGTCCTGTCCCCACCTCAGCAACACTGGGTGTGATCCCCAAAAGAAATTAATTTGGGAAGGGAGAGACACTGGGGGTTGGAGAGCGAGGACGGCATGGCCTTGCATGCAGCTGACCCCAGATTGGTCCCCCACAACATATGGTCCTTGAGCACTGCTCCCTAAGCACAGAGCTGGGAGTAGCCCCAAAGCACTGCCAGATAGAGACTCAGCCCTCCCATCAAGTAACTGAAAAATAAAGCTACAAGGCCAGAAAGAGTACAGGGCTTAAGGCGCTTGCTTTACACACAGTAGACCTAGTTTAAATCGTGTAGCACTGCATATGATTCCTAGAGCACTTTCAGGTGTGATCTCTGAGCACAAAGCCAAGAGTAGCCCTTGGGCAATGTTGGGGTATTGCAAAAAGTCCCAAAATTTTGAACAAAAAGAAAAAATTAAGCAAAGGGTTAGAGAGCATGCTTTACAAGTGGGAGCCCCAGCTTTGAGATGCAGTATCATAAACACCACCTGAATACTCAGTTCCCCTACTACCAGGCATGATCCCCGAGTACTGAGAATGAAAGAGTCCCCAAGCACTACAAGATGTGGCTCTATGAGGCTGAGGTGCCATCCCTGGTGCAATCATCCATGCAGACCATGATCCTGATGGCTGTGCTGAGCCCAGTAGCACAGGGCCACCGGCTGCACTGCAAGTCCCGTGATGGAAAAAGGATGTGCTAGTACTGTGCCAAGAAATACCAACCTCAGTGAGCACTGTTACGAGCGCCAGAACTAGAGAAGCAAAACCCCTGGTAAATAGCATGATCTGATATGTGAACTTGGCAGAGGTATGTCTGTGACTCCCCCTCTCTGGTGATGACAACAGAGGGGAAGGGAAAGAGGCAGAAACTCATGACAAAGGAATTTGGAAAATAGGTCACAGGACTGGAGACCCAGGGTTCAGAATTTGACCCCCAGCATTGCGTGGTCTGAATTATTATCACGTAGAGAGCCCTGTTGGCCCCCAGGAGGCACCAGTGAGACCCAGCATTCCTGGGTCCAAGCAGTGTTTCCCAGTCAAGCTGAAGCCCTGCACTCACTGGGCCTGCACAGCTGGGATCAGTAGTGCCAGGAGTAGACCGAACCTCCTGAGCACTGCTTGGGAACCCTGCCCAAAACATTAACTGATCCCCAGCACCTCAAAAAAAATTTTTGAGGGCCAGGGTGATAGAGCAAAGGGGTGGAGTGAGTGCCCTCAAATTAACACCCTGAGCATTGCCAGGTGGTTTTGGAGGTCTCCACACAGCTGGGCCTGAGCACAGCTGGGCCTGAGCACCCCTGGGCCGCAAAGCATCTCTGGGGAGGTCACTATATATAAAAAAAAGGGAGAATGAAAGGAAGGAAGGAACAAAGAAAGAAAGAGTGAGCCAAGTCTTTACCACATTTGGTCACAGGAACCTATGTCTTTGATTCTCCCCAACTGGCCGAGCAGGTGGGCATGAGAACGGGACTGGACAGGAAGGACAGGTACTGGACAAAGGTCTCAAAATACAGAAGCACTTTATTCCAGAGGCCAGGAAGCAGCTGGTGGGAGGCACGGTGGCTAGAGGAGCACAGCAGTTGAGAGGCGGCGGGTGGGTCTGAGCATGCCAGCAGTTTCTATGCACCCGAGGAGGGAAAGCTCTTCACCTGGCTCGGTGGAAGGAGACTTTCCGGACAGTTTTGTAAAGAGGCATCTCAGAGGGAAGAGAGACAAGGTCCCCCAGAGTGGCTGCCTGCTCTTGAGCCACGCCACAGGCAGCACAGCTTGTCCCCAACAGCTCCTCCCTTACTCACCATGCCCTGCTCGGCGGCAGTGTGCTCAGCCTCCCGTGCTCGCTTCAGGGCTGAGAGCTGGGCCTCCAGCGCCTGGGTGCGTTCGGTGCACTGTCGCTCCAGAGTCAGGAACTGCTGCTGTGCGTGGCTGCTCTCCTGGTGGGCGCTAGCCTGCGGGCAGAGGGCACCAGTTGGCAGAGTGGTCTGCTTTGGTCCTCAGTAAGTCAAGGATGGGTGTCTAACAGAAACCATGCTCCTTCCTGTCCCTCCTGGCCTGGCTGCTGCTGCTATCCTCGCCTGCAGCAGCTCTGCTTAGCCCCTGGTCTAAGGGTTAACCTGGGCGGGTGTGGATGCTGGGGGAACAGCACTGGGCACAGTCCCGCCACAGGTCACACTGGAGCCTGAGACAGCACTAGAGAACCAAAGCTCTACTGAAGACGGTGTGTTCAGCCATTTACTAATGGGAGAGCAAGGGTGAGTGCCCCAGTTTTCCCAAATAAGGCACCAGTCCTGACCCCCGAGATCTGCTGCAGAGGTGCCAGCGAACCACGTGCAAGTATGCAGCTCAGCGAACTTTGTTTTTTTTCCTTTTTGGGTCACACCTGGCAATGCTCAGGGGTTACTCCTGGCTTTGCACTCAGGAATTACTCCTGGTAGTGCTCATGGGACCATATAAGATGCTGGGAATTGAACCTGGGTCGGCCATGTGCAAGGCAAACGCCCTACTCATTGTGCTATCACTCCAGCCCTCAGCGAACTTTTTATGATTCTGTTTCTGGCCCTGGCTGGGGCCTCTTTTCCCTCTCGCAAGTGGCCTGCCACCTTCTCCCCAGAGCCTGGCACTGTTCCCAGCATCCTGTGTGCAAGCTGCCATCTGACCACTAGTGGAGCTCATCCTTGAACAGTTTCAGGACTAGATCAGTTCTAGTGGAGGTCAGCAGGTGACAGCCCTTCCACAGGTCTGACTTTCAGGGGCCCACCGACCTGCACCCAGCACAGCTGCAGCCCAGGTCAGGTCCAAAGCCCACACCCCAGAAGCTAGGAGTGATTAGCCAAGGCCTGAAGGGAAAGTGATATGGGCTAAGAACCACGTACCAGTTCCAGGATCTGAGCCTCTTGCGTCGCTACCAGCTCGCGGCTCTCCTTCAGCTTTTCCTCAGATACCTGCAGATTCTGTTCCAGCTCCTTCACCTGAGAGGGGAACAGAAGCACTCTGTGTTTAAAAACATCTTGGTACATCTTATGCCAGGGTAGGGAAAACCTGGCCTTAAAGAACAGACCCACTTAAATCATGAAACAGGTACGTTATGAATTTAAATGAGAAAAAAAAAGATACTGTAAATCTACTATGGTAAAACAGGATCATTATAAGCTGGAGAGAGTGCAAGGATTAGGGCTGTTTGCATCGTGGCACCACATATGGTTATATGATCCCCTGAACACTGCCAGCGCTTGTCACTCCTAAGCACAAAGCCAGTAATAGGGGACAAAGCAACAGTACAGCAGGCAGGGCATTTGCATTGCACGCAGTGGACTCGGGCTCAATCCCTTATACTCAGTATGTCCCCAAGCTCTGCCAGGAATGATCCCTGAGCAGAGGGCCAGGAGTATGCCCTGATCACTGCCGGGTATGGCCCCCAAACCAAACAAACAAACAAACAAAAGCCAAGAATAACCCCTAAGCTAAACTTTCCTCAATAAATAATTAGTGGGGCTGGAGCGATAGTACAGCGGGTAGGGCGTTTGCCTTGCATATGACCTGCTCAGGTTCGATTCCCAGCATCACATATGGTCCTCCTAGCACTGACAGGAGTAATTCCTGAGTGCAGAGCCAGGAATAACCAACCCCTGTGCATTGCCAGTTGTGACCCAAAAAAGAAAAAAAAAGTCTTATACTAATGTATTTTCTTCTAGACTACTTTATACACAATTCTAGGAAAACATTGCCCTTTTCTTCTTCACTTAAGTTTTCTTCTGTGTTTCCATGTAGCCTTCAGACCTCGGATTATTTCTTCAAGAATATTTTGTAATTCGTTTTGTAAAACATTTTGAGCCAAGAGCTACTGTGGGGCACTTGGGTATTTTTCTTTTTCCATGTCAAAACATGGGGTGGCTGACACCTTCCCACATCAGTGCCCTGAGGAGTGTCAGCCCTGATGGCAGGCCCCCAGGCATGGAACTATTGCCAACACAAGCCTGGCTTCGCAAGTCCATGAAACCACTGCAATGAGGCTGGCGTTGTTGTCAGGACTGCACAGATGTGCAGCAGTCAGCCAGCCCTGGAGCTCGGCCTGCCAATCTCTTTCGAAGTATGACCTTCGTAAGCTTTACTATACTATGAAAACGGAATCACACGAGGGCTGGATTCTGTGAGGAGAGGTCGGGACTCAATGACAGAAGAATACTTTTAGGTTTCATGGTTCCTCTGGCGAATTCACATTTTTGATACACAGAAAGTGGGAGTGAGAGCCATAGAGCAGCGCCTTTGTGCAGCAGGTAGGGAGCTTGCCCTGCATGCATGCAGTGACCCGGGTTCAATCTCTGGTACCATATATGGTCTCCCGCCAGGAGTGATTCGGAGTACAGAGCCAGGAGTAAGCCCTGAGCACCAGCAGGTGTAGCCCCAAAACCAAAAAAACAACAACAAAAAGAGAGCGCCAGAAAGGGGCCAGGGCTAGTTCAATGGGAAAACATCTGCCTTGCGGGCCTGGGACCATGAATTCAACTCCTGGCACTGTCCCCCATGCTGAGGGGATCCTGGAGGCACTGCTGCCTGTGCTCCCCAATGCCACAGTCGAGTATGCAATCTCTAGATAACTGCAGCAAACTAAACATGCAAGAACACTGCAAAGGGAGGGAAACAGCTCAGAGGAGCCACCACAAGAAGGAATGTGAACACTTCCAGAGAGAATAGGAATGTTACCTGTCCACAATGACTAGTTCCACTTGTGGGAGAATCAGAACTAAAATCCAATGGATCCATATCCCAAAAAGGTTACACAGAATCAGTGCATGGCCTAGCAATCCCCTCCTGGGGAACACCCCGAGGAAAGGAAGGGATGTACCTATGCAAACTCTTGCAAATTAATTTTTATAGTAGCACTATCTATAACACTTTGTGTTGGAGGTGTACAACAAATACAAATCTGCATGTACAAATGAATGGATTAAAAAATATATGGCACAGACATATGATGCAATATTATTCAGCCTTACAAAAATGCAAATTCTGATAAATGCAACAATACAGATAACCTTTGGGACATGTTCTAAAAGAAATAAGTTATGGTAAAAGCACAAATTGCTTTTGTGCCACACCTTGATGTGCTCAGGAGTCACTCTTAGCTGCACTCACTGGCCGATATGTAGTGCTGGGGATGGAATTGAGGCCAGCAAAGTCCAGGGCAAGTGTTTTACCTGTTGCAGTATCTCTCCAGCCCCAAAGCACAAATACTGTATGATTTCATTTATATAAGTGTCGAGAGTCAACAAGTTCAGAGAAACAGAAAACTGATTTAAGATTGCAGAGACTGGGGGATATGGAATAAAAACTTTTTGTTTTTATTTTTTTGGCCACACCCAGCAGTATTCAGGGCTTACTACTGGCTCTGTGCTCAGGGATCATTCCTAGTGGGCTCAGGGGACCATATGGAATGCCAAGTATTAAACTCAGGTTTCCTGTGTGCAAGGCAAGTGCCTTACCTGATGTACTATTGCTCCCACTATTTTAACAGGTACAGAGTTTTGATTTGAGAAAATCTAAAGAGGGATGGTGGTAAATATTGCACAAGAATCTATATACTTAATGAGACTTAATTAAACACTTAGGTAGGCAGGGCTAAAATGGTCACTTTTTGTTATACTTTTATTTTTCTACAATAAAAATATTATAAGGAATATTCAGAAGTAGAAATGATTAAAACAAAGCTTCATCTAGAAAAAAGCATAATTTTTGAACAGATTTAATCAGAAAATAAGAAAGATTTAAAAAGAATTTGTGGAATCAGAGTGATAGAGATTAAGATGTTTGCCTTACACACAGCCTATCTGGGTTTGATCCCTGGCATCTCACAGGGTTTCCCTAATCTCTCCAGAAGTGATCCCTGAGAGCAGAGCCAGGAGTAAGCCCTGAGCACTGCCAAGTGTGGTTCAAAAATAAAAAAAAAAAAAAAAAAGAAGCAATTTCGATGATTTGAGTATCTGTGTGTTGCTCCTCCCTATATTTTGCATTGAAATTCTAATGTCTAGTGTGATGGTATGTGTGGAGAAGGGTCTTGGGGATGAAGCCTTCAGAAGCAGAATTAGGGTTCTTAGAATTAAAAACTCCAGAGATCTCTTGGTTCCTCCACCACACAAAGGACACAGCACAGCGGTGTGAGCTCTGACTCAGGAGGGCTCATCCAGCCAATCTGAAATGTCTCTAAGTTCAGAATGAAAGAACACCATCCTGGCTAGGGCATTTTTTGAGAGCAGCTGAATGTATAAAGGGGAATTCAGCTTAACCAATCTGAAAAAGAACAGAGCAAACTGTAGGAAATATAAAGGGCCGGAGACATATCTCAGTGGGAGAGGACACGTCAAGCGCTGCATGTTGCATTTACGCCCCTGAGCTGCTCTGTGTCCCCGCACCCTTGAATACTGCTTGGTATGGCCCCTATTAAAAATAAATAAATATGAAGTAAAAAATAATAAAGGACACAGGTTGCAGGGGCAGTACAGCAGGTAGGGCTCTTGCCCGGAATTCCATATGGTCCCTTGAGCTGCATCAGGAGTGATGCCCAAGAGCAGATCCAGGAATACGCCCTGAGTACTGGCAGGTGTGGTTCAAAAACAAAACAAACAAACAAACAAAAAACCAGCTAACCAAAGTCAAGCTTATTAAATTAAAAAAAATATATATATATTGTAGTGGACTGGAGAGATAGTAGAGAAGGTAGGCCTTGCACTCAGCCAACCCGGGTTCCCAGGTTCAATCCCCAGCACCCCATATGGTTCCTTGAACCCTGCCAGGAGTGATCCCTGAGCACAGCCTGGTGTGGCCCAAGTTTCCTTGTCCCACCCCCACAAAATTTGCTGGTTCTTACTTTAAAATAAAGGAATAGAACATAATAAATAATAATAATAATAATAATAATAATAATAATAGGTAGATGGTCCAGAATTGCAAGGAAATGACTGTTTTATATAGAATAGGTGTTAATACAATTCACCATACTTAAGAGACTAAAGAAAACTCAATTACTGTTTTTTGCCCCCCAGTCCATGAAAAACTTAAGTTTTTTTCTCTCTTATCTGCAGTGCTGGCTGAAAATCAAACCTAGGGCCTCACATATGCAAGTAAGTCACAATCTTATACAAAACACTGTCCTCCTGTTGTTCATCGATTTGCTCGAGCAGGCCCAGTAACGTCTCCATTTTGAGACTTGTTACTGTGTTTGGCATATTGAATATGTCACGGGTAGCTTGCCAGGCTTTGCTGTGCGGGCGAGATACTCTCAGTAGCTTGCTGGGCTCTCCGAGAGGGGCAGAGGAATTGAACCCGGCTCGGCCAGGCTGGCTGCGTGCAAGACAAATGCCTTACCACTGTGCTATCGCTCCAGCCCAACCTTATACAAAATAGAACCAATTTGTAGTTTATGGGATCAAAACTTGCTACATGCAAAATATGTGTTCCAGCCCCTTAAACCATCTCTTTGGATCCCTAAATTAAAAATCTTTATAAAGTCCTACATATTTATGATTTTAAAAAGCCAACTAAAATATCTTTGGCAACGGGAAAGGGCTTTCCTTAATTCAATAAATATCATATATACCAAAACCTACTGTTTTGTTTTCTCTACACATGCAGAGTGGAATCAGCCAGTAAGCACAGCTACAGGTCCACTGAAGGCCTTGGGAAGCTTGTTACATCACTTAGAATCGCTTATTTGTTCATCTCTCTATTCTTTCTGCAGTGCCAAAGTCTGAATCCAGGGCACACACCTGCTTGAAGGCAGGTACTCCATCACTCAGCCACAGTTCTACACCCTAGAGATGGTTTTGATTTAAGGGCAGAGAAGGTCCTTGAGACTGAGAAGAGGTTCTTGTCCCAGTCTCAGTCCTTTGCCCTTTCTTGATAGATGCAATCCCTGCTCCCCTATTTGTGCAAGAATGCAGTGGTGGAGCTCCCACCCACGGGCCAGTTCATCAAGGAACAGGTCTGCCTTGTCTGAAAAAAAACAAACAAACAAACAAACAGTATTTCACTCTGAAAGTGAACAGAGGCAGCTTCCCTCCTTGTTAGGGGAAGTTTCCCCAGATTCCTGATGTCACAGGAAGCAATACCCCTGGTTTGCCCCACTAGAGTTTATAACCAAGTAAATTCTCCGTGGACATGACATTAAATTGACCCTTCCTTCGAAAACCCTTTGATTGCTTAGATGACTCATTCGGTAGGAAAAGAACCCAGAGGGGGGTGGCCTCCCTGGCACTCTGACATCTGCTCTGCTCGTGGAGTTCTAGAGGCCCTTGCCAATTCTCTAAGGACAGAAAAAAGAACCCAAAGTGTAAAGACCCAAAAGGACAAGATAAAGCTATCATTACTCACAGATGTCTGACTACTTGCCTAGGAAAGTGGAAGAAATGATCCAATACTAGAGACAAGAGTTCAGCAGGCGTATAGTACCTAATATCAACTGAAGAATAAAAGAAGACATTTCTCTATAGCAATGGATAAGATAGACTCACAATATCAATACATAACTCTGAAATTTGTAGGTAAATAAAACGTCTACTGGGAAAAATGTTACCTTCCAATACAGGATGAAAAATAGTAATTTGAGTAAATTAAATTCACTTAAAAGTCTTAGAAGGAAGAAGGTACTTAATATGGACTGGAAAATGACAAATGTTTAGGCACTAAATATATAATGAAATCCTATAAGCCAAACAACCCCCCCAAGAAAAACAAGCCAAAGATATAAATGGGCAATTCCAAAAGTAGAAACCCAAAAGACTAACAGGCATATGAAGAGATGGTCAAACTCATTAGTAACTATAGCAATGCAAATTAAAACATTTAAATATCACTTCACACTCATTAAACTGGCAAGAAAATTACAGGGTTGGGAAAATAACAATGCTGGAAATGGCAGAGCGCAGACACAGGAGCCTCCAGCATGCCGGGTTAGGGGGGGAGGGAGGAGGGCCAGGTGCAGCCCTTCAGGGAACATTCGTGTCCTACTTAGCCCCATTAAGTCAGATGCAGTCTCTCTCCAGAAGGTGATGGGGCACGGGTGCTCACTGCAGTGGACCCTGTGGACAGGAAGGAGGCTTTCCAGAGTCTGGCTTGTCGCAGACAATTAAAGTAGAGAGGTGCACACAGATCTGAGACAGGGCAGTTGAAAGTAACCAAGCAGACAAAGGCAGTTTCATCATTTACCTAAATCAACACATGCACACAAACCACACCCACCAGTTTAAGGTCACCCCACTCTATTAACCACACTGGAATGATTGCCAGGGGAGGAAGGGCAATAGGCGCAAAGGGAATGAATAAGAGAGCAACTTCGTATGGAACAGTGCTGTAACATGGCAAGAATGAAGAAACACACAAACTTAGCTGAGGCGATGGCTCGAAGGGATGATTGCCCCTGAGAACCACCAGGTATGGTCTAAGTTCAAATCCCTCCCCTCAAATTTGGAAATAAACTAAAGGCTAGCGTGCATCTTCTGCACTATGATCCAGAACATAGCTGGTAACTGCCAGGAGTGCCGAGCTAGAAGTAAGCCCTGAGCACTGCTGGTGTGGCCCCAAAACAAAACAAACGGAAGACAGCTGGCAGTTGCCTCTCTATATCTACCCCAACCATACCCCTCATCCTGCTAAAAAGAAGATGACAAATGACTACAGCAACCTTGCCGAGGTTAAGATCCAAAAACATAGTCACTGCAATGGAAAACCTCAGGGGTCAGAGTGAATATAGGGTTAAGGTGCCTGCTTTCCATGCAGCTGACCTTGTTTCTATCCCAAACACACCCAACAAAAGCCCCAGATCAATGCCAGTCACAGCCCCTCCCAACCCCCAATATCCTAAAAGAAAAACTCAGGCCTATGAAGCAGATTCTCAGTCACAACCATGTCATCCTACCAGTTTGTTCACTTTGTTCCACCTCACCCCTGTGTCCCGAAACTCAGAATCTCCAGAAGCAACGTCAGTACCCTTGTCTCCAAGAGGTTGATGGTCCTGGTCTGGCTGCTTCTGGCTGCCGAGAGTTGCTGTCTGGTATCTTCCAAATTCTGCTCAGCAATTGATTTCTAGAAATTGAAAGATGGGTAAACTAAAATAACCATTTCTTCATTAAGCTGTTACTGCTATACTGAAAATATACTAGGACTTGTACTGGAACTAGGTATAGAATAATTACATGCTTTGAAAAGCAGCAAACTGAAAGGCAGGGGAGAGCACTCCAGGTCTGGAGCTCATGCTCTGCATGTGTGGGAGGCCTGTAGATTCTTGGCATTCCCTGGTTCCACCACCTGCCTCCACAGACCCGCCAGGAGTGATCTCCAAGCAATGAGCCAGAAGAACCCCTTGCACTGCTGGGTGTGGCTCCTGTCACGAACACAATTCCGGAATAAATACACTCCATTCTGGAGTGACCATGGCCTCTCCTCTGGGTGAGTAATCTTCTCCCTCTCCTTACAGTGCAACCCAGTGGTCTGGCCCACATCCCTACTCGGCGCATACTTGATTTTACTTTATAAGGTTCTCTTTCCCTTCTCTCTCACATGTACTAAGTAAAACTATTTTGCTTGCAAATTGTATGATCTTGTTTTTGTATAGCAAGTTTCCACCAAGAAGCAGCACAGAATAGAGCCACTTGTCCCTCCGGGAAGCAGGAAGCACAGGGGGAACCCAAGCAAGTCAGGGGAGAGGTCCAGGCAACTACAAACTGCCAAAAGCTAAAGTGACAATACACTCAGGACAAGAAACAAGGTGGCAGGGTCTGGGGATGGCTCAGTGTCAAGTGGCAAAAGCACCTGCTTTGCAAGCATGAGGCTATGAACTTCATTTCTAGTACCACTCAGCATATGCTGAGCTTGGTTTGAGAGGCTCTGTACGTGGGACCACCAGCACTCTGCTGCCGAGTGCAAACAGAGCCAGAGTCATTATATTTTAGTTATTCATTTAATTATTATTGTTACCATCCTTATAGCATGATTCTACTAGAAGCTCTAACATAATTATGAAGATGCTTTAGGGAACGAGGGAGTTAGAAACGCTGTTTAGGAAGATCAATTTGGCAGTGAACACAGCAGACATTCAAAGGATGAAGAGACTAATGTTGGGTCAGCCAGTCACAAACCAGGCTAGAGAACAGTCCAATGGTACAATGGTGGCCGTGGAGATACCCAGCTAACGCTGACTACAGACAGAGTGATGGTTTGATCTAGCCAAGGCCTTGGCTTGGTCACTGCTGCCACAGGGACACAACCAAGAAGGGGGCCAGAATGACAGCAAAGGAGTTTGGGACTTCCTCATTCCCTAAAGCATCTTCATAAATATGTTAGAGCTTGTAGTAGAATCATGCTATAAGGATAGTAACAATAATAATTAAATGAATAACTGAAATATAATGACTCTTGCTCTGTTTGCACTTGGCAGCAGAGTGCTGGTGGTCCCACATACAGAGCACATGAAAAAGCCAAGTGTGTTACCCCTCCTCTTGGTCCCTACTACTCTCACCACAGGCAAAAGACCAGTACATGCAATGGCCTCTATTCACTTAGGAGATATGGGGACTATCTCAGGAAGCTCCTGCCCATACCCAAGGCAGATGTGATTCTTTCCTCAGTCAACTTTCTTTTCTCAGGGGAGGTGAGCAGTGCAGGGTGCTGAGAAAGCCCACAAGGTGTAAAGCACTTGGTGGGGCTTCTCAAGATCCAGGATGGGCTGTCCACCTGCATCTCTGCATAGGCTCCCCCTTTACTAGGAGAGGGTCTCACCCAGGGGACAAGAGGCTGCTTCAGCTGCAGGCAGGACTCCATGAAGCTGGAGCGTGTGCGTGCCTCACCACTGTCTGCAGACTCTGTGGTTCTCAAACTCTAGAACTGAGGAAATTGCCACAGTCACCACTGCCTTCCCCAGCCCAGACGGCCCAAGAAAGCCACTCACCTCTCTCAGGAGCTCCTGCACGTGCTCTTCTCCTGAGAAATTCTGCTCCAGTCTCTTCTCCAAGGATGAGACTTTCTCTTGCAAACGGGTGATGAGTTGCTCTTTCTCCTGAGCTTCAGCAGTGATCTGCAGGTGAAAGCAGGTTTCATGAGAAACTTCTCCCCTGTCTTCCTACCACTTTGGGTCATCCTATATCACTGAAATTTCATTTTCAACTCTATCCTAGATGAATGAGCAGAGAATTGTCCCTGACTATAAAAGATGCAAGATCAGAAGCCAGAGCACACAGCTATCTTTTCAGAACACTGGGGTAGGAGACAAACGGTCATCTTGATTTAAGTAAGTGCCAATCTGAGAAGAACAATGCCAAAACTTCTATGGAATCTGGCAAGCAAAGGAATGGTATTCGTCTTCCTTAAAATAATGGAATAGGGGCTGGAGCAATAGCACAGCGGGTAGGGCGTTTGCCTTGCATGCGGCCGACCCAGGTTCGATTCCCAGCAACCCATATGGTCCCCTGAGTACTGCCAGGAGTAACTCCTGAGTGCAGAGCCAGGAGTAACCCCTGTGCATCACCGGGTGTGACCCAAAAAGAAAAAAAAAAAGGGATAGGGGCTGGAATCTGGCTCAAGTGGCAGGACATATGGTGAGCATGCACATGGCCCTGAGTTTGATCCCTGGCATTGCATGGTCCTCCAGGTAATGCTGGAGGCCCCAAGCACCACTGGGAGTGGCTCTGTCTTCCTTACTCCCAGTACTTCTGGGCAAAGCCCCTATAAAAATATAACCAGACTGTACTGTCATGATCTAGTGGTTCCAGGAATGTTCTTCTTCCCATTTCCATTAAGCAAATGTTTAATCCTATTAAGAAGAGTACTCGGGACATACATCATTACTTCAGATGCCAAAAACCATTACCAGCAACTCCACTTAGGCTGACCTGGGTTTGATTTCCAGTACCCCATAAGTTTCCCCGAGCCCACCAGGAGTGATTCCTGAGTGCAGAGTCAGAAGTAAGCCCTGAGCATCACCAGGTTTGGCCCCAAAATAAAAATAAAAACAAACAGTAGGAACTGTAATAGCAGAATACAGCAAAAATAGCATTTTGCAAAATATATGAAAACACTTTCAATGATCTCCAGTCTTCATAACCATTCTTTGTGTCCCTTCACAAAAATTAAAGTTTAGGACTAGCACAAAAGCACATACCTATGTGATCCTACAAACTGATTCAAAATTTACATGAAGAATCCAAAGACTCAGAACAGGACTTAAAAAATAGCTCAAAAAATGGAAACACGTTTTACAGACGGCCAAAATTTGGTCCCTAGAACTCAAGAGTCCCCAGAGTACCTACTGAACCGATCTTCCAGCACTGAGCTGGGAGTGTCCCTTAAACACGGCCAGATCTGGCCTCCAAACAGGAACAAGCAACAAAAAATGGCAGAACATCTAAAACAACACTGAAGAAAAGAGAACAACTGTGGAAGACTGACACTATTTGATTTCAAAACCTAGGTAAGGTGCTTGTCTTTCACACAGCTGGCTTGTGTTTGATCACCAACATCACACATGATCCTCAGAGCCCTGCAAAGAATGATCTCTGAGCCAGAAAAGTTATAAGCCTGAGCACAGCTGGGTGCAGCCACAAAACCAAAAATCAAAAACCAAACTGTCATACTGGTGAAGGAAAAGAAAAATAGATCAATGGAACAAATCAGGGAGCACAGAAATAACCCTCTAAAAAAGCAACTGATCTTTAACAAAAGAGCAAAGACAGCTTCTTCAATAAGGATGTAGCCTGGCTAGACGAGGAACTAGCGCGATGTGGACTGTAGGCTGACATTTCTGGCGAAATTAGTTTCTATCTCTTCACAAATACCAGGAACCTAGGCCACTTCCCAGTACTCTCCGTACCTTTTGCAAATCAGTGGAAAGCTGCTGAATAAATGCTTGTAGCTCTTGTTCTTTTTGCTCCAGAGCCGTGATTTTATTTTCCGCACCTATGTTTGAAGCAGTCATGTGGTCTCTTCACAGAAAGCAAGCAGAGAATGCACACATTTGAATATCTCATCTAAGATACGCTCTTTCCATAGGAAAATTGCTCATGGTTTCTCTATGTCATGGCTGCAAACATTAGTCATGTGAAATTTATCAATGGAGAAGACTCCTTGGCTCTCACTGAGCAGAAGCCCATGGGGGTGTGGTGGTGATGGTGGGGAGAGTTTTACCCTGGTAAAGCAAAAAATCCTGAACTGCCTTTGGTGACTCAATAGCTTAGAAATAAAACCAGAGAAATGCTTGGGAGGGGCAGGAGTGGTTCTGAGTCTGAGCAGGTGAAGAGGAGTGAGAGGTGGAGGAGGATGGTCATCAGCCCTAGTTAGGACAGGACAAGCCTGGAAGCCTTTGCCAGGACTGAGATCAGAAAGTGCTGCAAAGAGCAGGGGGGAAAGGCAATCAGGCAGAGCCAGAATTACACTAGTATCACTTCCCATGGGCCCCACAGACCAAGCAAGAACCTCTGTTCTTCCAGCGTTGAGCAGTGTCTCTGCAATTCTTCAAGCTTCTGGCTTAAGTCTACAGACTGCTGATTGGACGTCATCAACTCTGCCTGTGTGTGACTCAGTTCTATGGTTCGTGCCTCCAACTCTTGTTCCATTTTCCCCAGAGTTTCTTCTTTTTTTAATAGCTGATACAAAGATAAAAAGCTTTACTAATAAGAAATACACAAAAAATCTGGACCTGTACATCAAACTTTTTACAAAATTTTAGAGTGTTTCAGGAGCTTCATATGCTGAGTTGTTTAAAAATAAAAATGGAAGAATTCACACAGGGCATTTCCATTTAATAAACTGAAAACATACGAGTATAATTAATATCAAAGACTACTAGGGTATTTTTGCCATTTATTAGAGCGATGACAGAATCAGAGTAATGACTCATCATTCAGCTTCTGAATTAAAGATGCGTACCATATGCTTTACTTTACTTAGTTCCTGCTGCTGGAATCCTTCTAATTCATCCATTTCATCTCTCTTTTGGAAAAGATTCAAACTCTGGTTTTTCATTTCCTGTAACTGAGCTGTCAGAAGCCTTTTTTCCTAGGTGGAAGAAGATATTAATGGAGACAACTGTGACATTAGAAATCATTATTTTCACTGTGACATTAGAAATCATTATTTTCACAGAATTGTTTCCTCTTTGTTGTGGGGTGGGGGGAAGCTGGGGTCCCCGGCATGTGAAGCATGTGCTCCACCACTGAGAAAACCCTTGGTCTGTTCTTTGCTTCTCTAAACCCAGCTAGTTCAGGGCACCATGCTGCAGCAGGACTCAGACCTCGGTTTCCTGCAAGCACATTAGGCACTCCAGCCCTAGGACCTATCTACTTGGTTCAAGCTATATGGTAGTTCCCCCCCACCCTCCAATGCCAGAAATTAACCCAGGGTTTCATATATCTGAGGCATGTGCTCTACCACTGATCCATAGCCCCGGTCCTATACAAATGCTTTATGTTGAGAAAAAAAAAAGAAAATGTGAGCTGCTCTTCAAGGTCATGTTCTCCCTTGAACACTATCTTTTTTCTTGTTGTTTGTTTTTGGGTTTTTTGGGAGATACCTGGAGATGCTCAGGGCTTACTCCCTGCTCTGCACTCAGGGTTCACTCCTTGTAGGCTCAACGGTTGGTTGGGCTGTGTACAGTGGTAAGTATCTGACCCAGTGTACGACTGCTCTGGCCACCCTTGTTTCTATGTTTCTTTGACTGCGTATTTCCACTGTGGAGGAGACCATATTTTCTCTCACCTCTTTCTAGGCAAGTTTTGTTGGATAAAAACTACCTTGTTTCACTAAAGAAAAAAAAAAGAAAAAGACATGGGATCTCAGAGAAATAACTCAATTGGCTAAATGTCTGCTGTGCATGCAGGAGGTCCAGGTTTGATCCCAGGCACCTCATTTGTGCCCAAGCAGAGTGCCTAGAGTGGTTCTAAAGCACCACCATGTATGGCTCCCAAACAAACAAAAGTAAAAATAAATAAATTTTAGTTTTGAATAAGAGAACAGAGCACAAACTACTCAACATCTAGAAGTTCTTAATAAAAAACTGCAGATATTCAGGGGATGGAATGATAGTACAGCGGGTAGGGCATTTGCCTTGCACGAGGTTCAATCCCCTAGCATCCTATGTGGTCCCTCAAGCACTGCCAGGAGTAATTCCTGACTGAAGAGCCACTGAGCACTGCTGGGTGTGATTTCCCCCTCCAAAAAAAAAAAAAAATTTAGAGGTCAGAGTGGTAAACTACCACTATTTAAACTGATACTCTATCAAAGACTAGAGCAATAATGAAACTCATTTGTTCAATAAACAGCAAATAATATATTTCATAACTAAACATATCCAAGGAATAAATTTTCTACCATGAAGAGTTACTTATGAGATCACTAATGAAAACACAGATTAGGTAGCAGCATATAATGCAGGCTAACCTATTACTTCATATTAAAAAGTTTTTCTTAATTTTAGGCTTCAAGTTCCATCTTGCTATTCATGTCTGTTAGGCAAGTGTATATTATAAAAGTATGTTTGCTGTGCTATGCAAACTAGTGAAAAGTATTAGTAAATTAATCAATTTTCCTCATCTATGTCTAGCCAAAAAGATTCTTTTTTTACTGGCCCAGAACTGAGCCTTAAGAAATGCACTCCCATATAGACCGAACATGATTGCCATTCAATGTCTCTTTTGCAAACCACAGCACCCAAAAAGAGAGAGAGAACAAAAGGGAATGCCCTGCCACAGAGGCAGGGTGGGATAGGGGGATGGGAGGTGGGAGGGACACTGGGATCAGTGGTGGTGGAGAATGGGCACTGGTGGAGGGATGGGTATTCGATCATTGTATAACTGAAATCCAAGCACAAAAATGTGTAAGTCTACAACTGTACCTCATGGTGTTTCACTAATAAAAATTTAAGGGGGGCAAAAAAAAAGAAATGCACTCCCAGAGCTGGAGCTGTGGCTGATCGGGTTCAATTCCTGGCATCCCATATGGTCCAGACATCAGATGCAAAGGAAGTACTTAAAAGAAAATTTGATAAAATGACTTAAAGCAAGAAAGCAGGCAGGGAAGAAAACCCAAAGGAGTGGCTGGAGAGCATGTTTACAGGTAAGAAGTCAGGTTTGATCCTCAGTATTGCATGTATGGTTGTGGTCTAAGAATCAAACCAAACCAAACCAATCAACATATAATGTACTAGTAAATAAGTGGGCATGATGGGGCAGAGATGAAGTTGTTATAGGAAATCCAAGGAGTCAGAAACTATGTCAGAGGATGAACCAAAGGTCCAACAGAAGCTTCGGTTAAAAGATCCCATGGGGAAGGGCCAAGAGATAGTTCAGAGAGTAGTATAGGGCGTTTGCCTTGTATGATGTTCACACCAGCATCCCATATGGTCCCTGAACCATTGCCAGGAGTGATTCCGGAGGGCAGAGCCAGTAGTAATCTCTGAGCCTTGCTAGGTGTGGTCCCAAAGCAAACAAATAAAACAAGCTCCCACAGAGAGAAGGCTCTTACTCTTCAAGTGTTTCCCCTTTGGTGAAACCCAGTCAGAGGATGGGTAACAGAACCTGGCTAATGCAGGAGTGGGGCCAACAGTAGACGCAACCTGCCCAGGAGGAAGGGGAAAACAATGGCCATGCCAAGTCAGCGTCTAGTTCAACTAATTCAGTTTCCAAGAGATGGCATAGCAATCGTGATTTTCCAAGCTCCACAAGAGGTCAGCATTAATAATAAAGCAAAAATGAAGACAGTAAGATGATGAACTAACCTTTTCAAGCTGCTCCATCTTTTCTGACCATTCCTAAAATGAAACAATAACAAAAATAGAGTTTCCAAGAAAAGTATCAGTAACACCAGGATTTTCAGAAAACAAAATCAACTTACTCTTTGCCCAAAAGCAACAAGTCATAAAAATGGATTATGAGACTGGGAAAAATCTGACTTTCCACAAAGAATTGGCTCACTATTAAGGAAGTTCATAACACTATCAGGAGAAAATGAACTTTAGAAACAATTCTAAACACAAATACAAGTCTATAGACTGTACTGAGTGGAATACCCCATGTAAGTTGTATGTGTTAGTCTTATGTAGCATTGGCAGATCCTCAGTGCTGCCCCAAATGGGCTGGGATTATTTTCTAAGAGTGCATAGATGGGATCAGCCAAACCTGGAACTCTCAACTGATGGTTAGATGGTTAAAAGTGGGCAGAGGGAGGGTCAGTCTTCAGGAGTCTCTGATAATTATTTTCCTCTTCACCTTCACTTTACCCATATGCTTTGTGCTACCTGGTATAAATGAACGGAAAAGGGATTATATCCTTTTTCTTTGGTACAAAAGGCTATAGAACAATTGCCCAGAATCAGAATCTACCAATTTGAGATCCTTTCTTCATTTAGATACATTAAGGCTTATAACTCTAAGGTTTCTTGTTATTTTTCCCCCCACTAGGTTGTACATATTTTTGTGTAGGCTTATAGATTTCTTGAAATTGTGTCACTAGGTGGAATCTTTCCATCAGTCTTGGGCTGGGTCACATATTGAATACCTGGTCCTTTCTGGCTAATGCCAAAGTCAGTCCTTCTGCCATTTTGGCTCTGCTGGCTTGGAATGTCTCATTCTGCTCTTGAAATTTCCGCATGGAAGCTGTTAACAAAGAGGCTCTATTTGAGATATAGAAAAACTTCAAAATAGCATGACAAATAGCCTATGTTGTTACTTTACAAATATAAGGTCAAGGTCATAAAAATGGATTATGAGACTGGGAAAAATCTGACTTTCCACAAAGAATTTTTTGGCTTTAGTACTAGTCCATACTTTTTTTTGTTTCTGTTGTGTTCATTTTTCTGTAGTTGTTAAAAGTATACTTTCACCAAAACACATAAAGGTAATTTTTAAAATAGTATAATAGAGCACTGAGTTATCTTACTAAAACAAATCAATGCTATCACTGTGCTGCTATTACAACTTTATCAGAATTAAAACAAAAATCAAAACAAAGAAAAACAAAAACCTTTTTTCACTTGTTTTCTTTAAAAATTTATATATATATATATACACACAGAAAACAACTTTCTACTTATGTTAACATCTTTCTTGAATTGAGCCCGAAAGAAAACATAAGGTTCAGGGCAGACTAATCCAAGGTTTGTTCTATTTTTGGAGAATTGACAGAGATATCACCCCCCAATTACAAACATAGCAGCAAGGAAGCTGTGGTCAGAACCAGAGTGTCCTGAGCTAGGCTCCAGGACCAGGCACTATATGTTACCAGATTCTAAGAGTGGCCAAGAAACTGGTTAACTGAATGGAGACAAACTGATACATATAACGACACTCTGCTAAGAAACAAGCCCATAGAGCAACATAAATATGAGTTATATGCTTCTAACTATCAGACAAATGCACTCCTGACTAGAGTAAGAAGAAGACTACTTATAGACTAGAGCTCTTGGAAGGAACAATCTTAACCATACACTATTAATTAAAAAACAAACAATAAACCCTAAACCCTAAGACGATTGAAATAAGCAGGAGAAAAATACGTACAATCCTGGTGTTTTTCTAACGCAATTTCAAGCTTCTCTTTTATCTTCTGCAAGTTTCGGACCTGTTCAGCATAGTCTTGGGTGAGGAGGGTGATGCACATACCAGGAATGGACAAACATCAGGAAAGGAAGTTAAACAAAAAAATGAGTGAAAATGATGATGATTTCTCAACCTGAAAACCATTCCTGTTAAGGAAAGCTAGGCAGACAGCCTCTCATTAACAACAAACAAGACGGGCAAACAGGTATATTACAAACTGTCCATGGTCAATGGAGAAAACAAACAGTCACATTTTCTTAGCCCTGGCAGAGAGTAAGAATTGGTCGTCTGATGATCAGAAATGCCCCACTATGAATACCAGAATCATTACTATTTTTTTACATTTCAATTTTATTGTATGTGAGCGTGAACGTGTGTGTGTGTGTGTGTGTGTGTGTGTGTGACGATCTACTCCTAGCAGTACTCAGGGAACCATGCAGAGCCATAGTTCAAACTGGGGTTACTGCATGCAAGTAAAGCACCTAACACCTTTATTGTCTCTCTGGTCCTTATTTAAATTTTGTGTGTTGGACGATGAAAAGGAATCAGTAAACAGCTTCCTTACAGTACACAGAACTGAATAACACTTTAATTATGGTACGGTTTTTATGAAAAGTACACTTAATTCTCTAGAAAAGTTTGATTTGCCAGTGACATATTAAAGATGAATGTCATGTCAGAATTAATTACCTGGCTGGCCAAAGAAGACTGTGTGGTTTAGTGGAAAATTAGACATATTTTAATTCAAACTCCTATTTGTCCTTAGCTGGAAGACCTTAAGCAAACTATTGATCTTAAGTACTGGTTTCTTCATTTATCAAATGATGATCTAAATACCTACATGAAAGGACTCACTGACAAGTAAGAATCTTGTGCCTTAAGAGCCTGTCACACAGTGCTCTACTGAAGGGAGCTCCCAGGGGCTGAGGAGACATTTTAAAGGGCCGAAGTGCAAGTCTTGCATGTGGAGATCCTGAATTTTGCACAGAGCACTGCCGGAAAGGCAAGCCTCTCACCAAAAAAGGGGTCATGATGGAGGGAAATGACCAAAACATACAAGGGATAAATACATGTGCATTCTCTTCCCTATCCTTTTTCTAACATAAGGCAAATTCAAACTATCTTTTCTCTGTATTAGGAACGGTTCATATTATTTTATAATCTCTCCAACATCAAATAAAGTTTTCACGACTGATTACTGATACCACCTACATACAGAGCAAGAGTACAGCAACAAATTAAACTTTCTGGGGGTGGGAGTTGGACCACATCCAACTTACTTCTGGCTCTGTGCTCAGGGATAACTCCTGGTGGGGCTCAGGGATAGAACCAGAGTCACGTGCAAGGCAAGCGCCTTACCCCATCCTATCTCTCTGGCCCCCAACAATTGTGCCGGGGGCAGACTGTTGCTCAGAGCATGAATTTGTACCTAAAAAGTCTAGCTTTGAATCGCATCTTCTACTAATGTAATCTTATCTTTGCTAAACCTAAAAGTGATTGGGAGGACAAAATAAGGACTATCTAGGAGCTGTGAGCTACCTGTGATTCCTTGGATAGCAACATTAACAAAAATGGTTCACAAAGAATTTGGTCAATTTTGTCCTTTACATTTCGGTATTGGCATAAGTAACAGCAAAGGCCAAGGGACAAAAAGAAACAAATAATCAACTGACCACTTCACAGTATGATGCTTCCATAAAGTATCTAAGGACAGAAACCTAGGTGAGGACTCAGGACTGTTCAGTAACAAACCCAGTCCAGGCAAAGGCTATCATGGGAGTCTCCTGTCAGTTATAATTGCACACAAAAGACAAAAAATAAGATACAGCTTCTATATTGAAGCTGATGCTAGAAGTACTATTGGAAAGTGGTGCTGAGACCCAGAGTCCCAGAGTGATTCCAAAAACGTTAGCTGTAACAAGTGGCAATGTACCATTACCCTTCCTGGTTAACATCTGGGAGCCACTCCCCAAAATGCAGTTCCTTTGCCAGCTCCCATGAATGCAAGTTCTGCTGGTAGATGGCAGGTGGTCAAATTTACTCTATCTAGAGTTTCTTTGTTTTGGACCACATCCAGCAGTACTTAGGGCTTATTCTTGTCTCAGTGCTCAGGGATCACTACTGGTGATACTCAAGGGATGATATGTAGTGCCAAGGATTCAAACCAGGGTTGGCCGCATACAAGGAAAAGCACCTTAACTCCTGCATCATTTCTCTGTTTCTCTATGTAGTTTAAACTTTTTATATCCATGGCTAGAAATCTCAGGAGCACAAAGACAGAAGCTGCTTATTTTTGGTGATGGTGGTAGTGATTTGAGCTAAGTCCAGTGGTGCTCAGGTACTTGTACTCAGGAATCTTGTCTGATGGCACTTTGGGGATCAAACCCAGGTCAACCACCTACAAGAAAACACCTTACCCTCTGTACTGTCTCTCTTGCCCCAGAAGGTTCTTTTAAAGAAGTTGCTTTTTGGGGGGTGGAGGGAGTGGGGGCAGGGAGGGGGAAAGGGGTTGGGGGTGGGCATGTGCACAACTGGTGGTGCTCCGGTTGTGCTTACTCTTTTTTTTTTTTCTTTTTGGGTCACACCCGGCAAAGCACAGGGGTCACTCCTGGTTCTGCACTCAGGAATCTCTCCTGGTAGTGCTTGGGGGACCATATGGGATGCTGGGAATCGAACCCAGGTCGGCTGCGTGCAAGGCAAACGCCCTACCCGCTGTGCTATCGTTCCAGCCCTGTGCTTACTCTTGACTCTGCACTCAGGGATCACCCCTGGTGGACCTAGGGGACCATATGGGACCCCAGGGATCGAATCTGGCTCACATGCAAGGCAAGTGCCCTACCTGCTACCTTATCACTCTGGCCCCTAGACATTGCTTAAAACCCGAGTTTTGAATTTATATTACTTATTGTACTAACAGAATAATGAGGGCATAGTGCTCTATTTACCCCCCATTCCCATCTTTTGGGGGAGGCACACACAGTGATGCTCAGAAGTTATTCCTGGCTCTACACTCAGGAATTACTCCTGGCAGTGCTTGGGGGACCATACGGAGTGCTTGGGATCCAGGTCAGCAAGTGCCCTACCTGCTGTACAATCTCTCTAGCCCCTATTGGTCCATTTTTGAATCAAAAGATAAAAAAATGCCAAAATTATTATAACATTTAGCTCTGTGACTGCTTTATGGGGAGAGAGGGCCAGGAAAGTTTCTCTTGTTGTTTTTCTATGAGTTCTTAGACATACCAGAAAGCCTGGCTTCTAATTTCCGTATCTGTTCATTTCTTCTCAAAAGCTGGGATGAAAGATCTTCTCTGGAGCTGCTTCCATCGGAAGCCTATTGAGACAGACATAAGAGATCAGATTCAAACAAGGGTTTTTGACTGTGTGAGACACACTATTAAACCAAAGTGACAACCTGCATTAGACATTTGGTTACATTTTAATGAATTTTGATCATTAAAAAGCTGCTTAACAAATCTGGATCTTAGCATCTTTATGGCAAAGTGTAAGTAACACTACCTCTGTCTACAATGTGAAGGGGGTATACAAAGGTAAAGAGATAATTACATGTGTAGACACACTATTATAATAAATAGTGTGTATTTATTACAATAGTGGCATTCAAATCCATTATAATCACATTATATCAAGTGCATAATACAAAAAAAGTTCTTATAGGGAACAAAGAAAACGGCTTCATTTTTCCAAAGGTAAAGCCCTAGGAAGTTCCTTAGCAAAGGAGCAAAGGCTGTTCTTGATGAAGACTCTGTTACTGATATAGACAAAGTTTTAGTATCTTCATCTATAAAACAATCAAAGCATAAAAAGGCAGAGCTTGGTTGTTAAGCACATGCCTCACATATATGAATGAGTTTGATCCCCAGAACCACCCATACCCAAGCTCTATAATGCATCAAAGATAACTTCATTTCAATAAATCAATATATAAGACATCAATTTTCTCCAACAGGCTAGACTATCTTAAAACATATGGGTATTACTATTGCTTAGGCATAGCATACTATTGTTAATATACAACTTCCCTTTTTTTATGGGGGAAGGGTTTGGGCTCCATGCAACAGTGCTCAGGGGCTTAGGGATACTCCCAGTAGTCCTCTGGGGATCACAAAATGGGTCACATCAAACCCAAGGCACGCACACTAGTCCTCTGAGCTATCCCTTGCTACTTTTTAAAAACTATGACCATAAAATTCATTTACTTTTAAATTTAATTTTTTAATTTTTGTTTTTTTTTGGGCTACACCCGGTGGTACACAGGGTTTACTCCTGGCTGTGCTCAGGGATCACTTCTGGTAAGCTTAGGGGACTAAATATGAGGTACCAGAGATGCAACTTGGGTCAGCAACATTCAAGGCATGTACCCTAGCCACTGCACTTATCATTCCAGCCCTGACTATAATTTTTTTTAAAAAAAATACAGACTGTTTTGAGAATGGCTTAGTGAACATTCCCCATAACAAATGCCGATAATTTCCTGTATTTGGTCAATTTTCATTTTACAGAAAAACTCTAGCAGATATTATAACATTTTATCCCAAAAACTTGAGAAAATATAAGGACACTGTCCTTATAATAATAAAGCATTATACAGAAATAAATTAAAAATATATATTTTTTGCATTTTTTTCCTTTTTTGGGGGGAGGGCTACACCTGGTGGTGTTCAGGACTTACTCCTGGCTCTGCATTCATGGCTCACTCCTGGCAGAGCTTGGGGGACCTTATGAGATGCAGGGGACAGAATTAAAGTGGGCTGCGTGCAAGGCAAGAGCCTTACTCATTTACTGTTTCGTCCTCTAATATCTAATTGTTAGTGATGTTTCTTCTTCATCGTAATCCCTAAATGACTTTAGACGTGGTGAATAATTCATATAAATGTTCAGTTAGCCCTCTAATCACTTGCCCATCTAATATTTACCAAGACATAGGAAGGTATACAGTTAAGAGGTAGTTTCTGTAGGCAGAGGCTTGGGTTAAAATCCCATCCTTATCACTTATGAACCATATGAATTTAGTCATTGAGGGGTGGGGGGGGGAGAGTGCAGCATGTAGGGTACTTGTCTTGTATGTAGCTGACATGGTTTTGATCCCTGCTACCAGATATGGCCTCCAAGCCCTGCCAGGAGATATCCCTGAGTGTAGAGCCAGGAGTAAACTCTGAGGAACACTGGGTGTGGCCAAAAACAAAAAGAAAACACAGCAAACAAAAACAGGTGTAGCTTCACAGAGACTGGCACACATCTGGAGCAGATGTGGGGAGAAAGGGACTCTCCTTCGTTGTTGGTGGGAATGCCAACTGGTTCAGTGTTTTTGGGAAACAATATGAATATTCCTTAAAAAACTAAAAACTAGAAACTGAGCTTCCATATGACCCAGCAATAGAACTTCTGGGAATACATCCTGAGGGTACAAAAAAGCACAGTAGAAATGACATCTGCACCTCTATATTCATTGCAACACTGTTCACAATAGCCAGAATCTGGAAACAATAGCCAGAATCTTGAAACAGTTCCAGTGCCTGAGAACAGGACTGGTTAAAGAAACTTTGGTACATCTACACAATGGAGCTGTTAGGAAAGATGTTAGGAAAGATGAAGTCATGAAATCTGTTTATAAGTGGATGGTCATGGAGAGTACCATGCTAAGTGAAATGAGTCAGAAAGGGCAGAACAAACATTGAATGACTGCACTCATTTGTGGAATATAAAATAATATGAGACTAACACCAAGTAGAGACAAGGGCTAGGAAGATTCTCCATGGATGGAAGCCTGCCTTATAAGCTGGGGGAGAAGGCAGCTGGGATAGAGAAGGGACCAATAAGTCAGTGATGGTTGGAGGGATTACTCGGGATAGGAGATGTGTGTTGAAAGTAGATAAAGGACCAAACATGATGGCCTCTCATTATTTGTATTGCAAACCATAATGCCTGTAAGGAGAGAGAGAGAGAGAGAGAGAGAGAGAGAGAGAGAGAGAGAGAGAGGGAAACTGCCTGCCAAAGAGGCAGGGGGAGGGATACTGAGGACATTGATAGTGCAAAATGTGCAGTGGTGGAGGGATGGGTGTTTGATCATTGTATGACTGAAAATCAAACATGAAAGTTTTTTAAGTATAGTTCACAGCGATTCAATTAAAAAAAGGTAACAACAAAAAAAACAGTGTAGCTACTTCTGTGTATACTGGTATACCTTGTAACTTGGTATCCTTACACAGGATTTATCTCATGATCTACCTCACAGAGCTGACTAGAATGAAATAAAACAGTGCTCGTTGCAATGCTAACGCATAGCCTCATACATGGTTTTAACCCATAACATCTATTAGCAGTAGAAGTCATGATTATTACTGCAAGACATCCTATTCGCAGCATAAACTAAGCACACAAGCCTTGGTGAATCAAGGAGTCCCCACCTAAAACAGCAGCTGCAGCAGAAGCAACTATTAATTATGAAGTGCTGTGGAGAGCCAAGAGCTCTGTGAAGTATTTTACACACACTCAGGAAAGAGTTAACATTTCAGTCCAAGACTACAATTCTTAGCAAGGGCTCTTTTTAGAGATGTAGCTAGCCCACAGCAACTGAGAGCAAGCATTCCCACTATTCCTGGCAAGTATGGCTCACTGTACTGAAAGAGCAGAAAAGACAGGGTGCACACTAAACACCTGCTTTCCTGCAGGGTCTGGAATTTTGCTAAGTGCTAGGCAGAGGCAGTCTACATGATTAACTGTTGAATTACAGGCCCAAGCATTTTACGAAATAACATTGGTTTATCCTTTCTTCTCAACCCTGCTCTCCCTCCCTCCCCTGCAGGGAGTATAGGTTTACTGAGTTACTCCCACTACAGTGCTCCCGAGGCACACCCAATTCCATCTGCACTCCTCGCGGTTGCGGTCCTCCCGTTATTCATCGATTTGCTCAAGCGGGCCCAGTAACGTCTCCATTGTAAGACTTGTTGTTACTGTGTTTGGCATATTGAATACGTCACGGGGAGCTTGCCAGGCTCTGCTGTGTGGGTGAGATACACTCGGTAGCTTGCCGGGCTCTCTGAGAGGGGCAGAGGAATCGAACTCGGGTCGGCCATATTGGCCGCTTGCAAAGCAAACGCCTTACCCGCTGTGCTATCGCTCCAGCCATATGCATGGCTCTCCACTCCTAATCCTGTGTTTATCTTTAACGACTCCTTTGTACTCTTTTCCCTTCTTAATCACTTTTATCCCTAAATCAGACCTGTAACTTATAAAAGTCAAATTCTTCTAAGGGCTCAGGATTTTGCACGTGTAAGTGAAATATTGCTTTTCTCCTCTTTTATGTTCTTTGCATAATTTTAGTGCAGTGTCTTTTTTGTATAGACACAGGAAAGCAGTTAATGCTATGCCTTGTAACTTGGAAGATAATTTACTCCAAATATTTACTCCTGGGCATCAGTCATATTGATTTGACTTAAGCCTCAGTTGCCCATAGTTCCTAACACCCCCCAAAGAGGGGTCCCAGCGAGGGACAAGGATGTACCTAGGGATGCAAAAAAGCACAGTAGAAATACCATCTGCACCTGGATATTTATTGTAGCACCATTCACAAAAATCAGAATCTGGAAACAACCCGAATGCCCGAGAACAGATGACTGGTTAAAGAAACTTTGGTACATCTAAACAATGGAATACTATGCAGCAGTTAGAAAAGATGAAGTTGTGAAATTTTCTTATAGGTGGATGGACATGGAGAGCATCATGCTAAGTGAAATGAGTCAGAAAGAATGGGACAGACATAGAATGACTGCACTCATTTGTGGAATATGAAATAACATGAGACTAACACCCAAGGACAGTGGAGACAAGGGCCAGGAAGATTGCTCCATGGTTTGGAAGCCTGTCTCAAGTGCTGGGGGAGAAGGCAGCTGGGACAGAGAAGATGATGGTTGAAGAGATTACTCGGGATGGGAGATATGTGCTGAAAGTAGATAAAGAACCAAATATGATGGCCTCTCAGTATCTGTATTGCAAACTATGATGCCCAAAAGTAAAGCTAGAGTAAGAAAGGAAGGTGCCTGCCATAGAGGCAGGGGTTGGGATGGAGTGGGGGTTGTGGGAGGGATACTCGGGACATTGGTGGTGGAAAATGTACACTGGTGGAGGGATGGGTGTTTGATCATTGTATGACTGAAACTCAATTGTGACAGCTTTGTAACTGTATCTCATGGTGATTCAATTACAAAACATTTAAAAAATTTTTTTAAAAAAGGATGGACCTAGGGCAAGCCATAAATTACCTGGCATTGAAATCAACAGGTTAAGTGCCATAAAAAGTATAATAAGAGCACA